ACAGAATACTAAATTCTGTAGGTAACGTTGGTTATTAATAGCAATATGTATGATTCTTAAGGCAATATGTCAAGTTGGAATTTCTACAAATGCACTCCATTAGCATAGGTATCTGAGGAGCAAAACCAGCTTTTTTTGCAGGCAACAGTGAATGTTAGAGCTTCTGTGATAAAAATATTACCGATGGAATGTCTTCAGGGCCAGAAATGGCATTCTGGGAGCTTTTATTATGAGAATTGTGTGACAAACTGTCATGGAGATTCTTCAGGCTCACAGAAATCAATTGTGCAGTTCATATGCAGCTTTTTCAAAACGCCTTCTAATTCCAAGGCTTTTGAGCTGAACAGAATTCTCATTGTACTCAACTGAGTATATTCCTTTTTTAAAAGATTGGATGCCTCCTGTATAAACTGAGACTGATATTCCTGACGGGGATAATTGGAGCCTGACAATTCTTTGGTTTATCTATTGATGAGCCAGCTATAGCTGAAAAACCATTTCTGGTGAGACTTTTTAAAAATGTGGCAATTATTACCTCTTCTGGGGATTTGCAGCGCTGAACGTATGACAGGTGTGGGAGTCCTTTGCAGGAGGGAGAGCAGCAGGGAGAGCTGCTTTGTTTTGGTAATATTTTAATGGAACCGGCTGCCCTTATAGTATATATGCATTGGAGGGGTTACTCTAGGCTTGCAAGTATGTTGTGTGTTCCAGGGACCCTGAAGGGGAAACAAGACTCTGAAATCTGTTTTCCTCTCCATATAGGATCTAGATGAGTGGTTATTTGGAAGCAGTAGTCAGGATGTATCTTGTCAGAATCTGTTAACAGAGCAGAGCTCAGCAAAGTTGTGTTGTGCTGGGCTTCTGACTTCTCTAAACAGCTTGGCTAGTGTTAAAACTGCATGACGTTACCTGGAGCTGTATCAAACTTTGCTCATGAATGTTTTGACAAACTGATCCATGTATAAAGATGTCCAACTGACTCCATCCTGCTAACGTTTTGTCCTCATGTGCTAAAATACTCCCACTCCTCCACACGCATACGCCCACCAAACCCAGAAACTCCTCAAAGACAATGATGCTAATGAACCATAAATAAGTAGCAGAGATCAGATCTTTCTAACAATAAGCATGAGACTGGATCTTTTTCTTTTTTTAAGGAGAAATTTTAGGGATTTAGAATCTGTGTACTTTTGTTACTTACCATAAAGCTTTTTATAGTAACTACAAATGTTAATATAAACTATGAATGACCACTTTGAGTCTCTGCTGCATCAGTCTGGCATCGCTTAGTAAGAACACAGGAATGGCTTCTATGTTCCTGTTTCCTGCTCTGCTATAACACTGCTTTTGCCAGTTGGTGCAGTACAGAGGTTCCATCTACTCTCCATGTATGTATTTTATCCAGATACAAATTGGGGAAATTTATTATATCAAAAGAGAGCTGAACCTCTACTGAATTTTTGCAAAAAGGTACTACTGAAGTGCAACATGTTATTTAGCCAAGAAGAAAAGATTAAAACAGACAAACAAAAAAACCCCAAGATAGTTACTAGCCATTTCTGCCAAGAAATAATTCATTGCAAGGCTGAGGGAGTTTTATCTGAAGTGCAGAAATTAACCCTTAAAGAAGGTAGCTGAACAAAAGTAAAGAAGAACAGTTATACTTGGCTTCTCATCAGTGTTCTATTTATATGCTTTGAAAGTCTTCAGAAGAAAGATGTAATTTCTAGTTTGATAGAAGTACCACTGTGATTTTATCTAGAGCTGTTCCTGTCAGTCTATCTAGTGCTCTAAACTTTCAGTGACGTAAACAGGGATGGGTGTGTTTTTCAGTGCACGTACATGTGTAGAAATGTGGAGGTGCACTTTTTTCCTCTCTCGGTCTCAATGACCTGCTTTATCTGGCTGCCTCTAGCTAGCTCCTCAGCATACCTTAAAGATTTCCCTTTCTGTCGTCTTTGTAGAAACCAGAAAAGCTGTTACTGTTCTCCGACACAAGAATGAAAAAACATATTGTGATTTCCTTTCTTTTTGTCACCAAAACCACAATGATAATCACAGATACTTGAAACAAATGTTCAGTATGGTCTGACCATTCAATTGTCAGGTACCCGGAAAGGGAAAAAAAAAGAACTCAGATTTCTGTCTGCAAAAGGTAGTTGCAATTGTGTATTGAACCATGAGATGAGCAGTGCAGTGTTTCACATTAGTTGGAACTGTCAGCAGAGTGGCTGTTTGTGTACTGTATGCCTTGGACAGGTTTGAGTGAGCAATCTTGTAGCAGAAATGAATGGCTATTTCAGAAAAGCTATTGAAAGTTGCTTGTAAAAAGTTTAACAGCTGAGGAGTCTATTCCAACTTCATGTAATGAAAGCAGATCAAAGCATATATGTTGCATAATGTGTACTTTGATTTTGGTGCTTCTGTGTTTTTTCTGCTCTTCTCACTTAATTTTTTTTTATTTACTCCACAATAAACAAAATAAATACTGATAGGATTCACTGCATCTTGAGAGGAAGTTGGAAATTTAATGTGTTTTGAAGTCTATATGGTTACTACTAATAGAAACCTTTTTTAATTAGGTATTTTGACAAAAATATTGTCAAAAGCCATAAACATTGTAAAATTAAAATCATTTCAAGCTTTCCATAATTATTATCTCACAGTAAATTTGAAAAATATTATCTTCTGAATTGAAATGAAAGCAGATATTAAAAATAGTGCACTATCCTGGAAAATGGTTGAACTGAGTTTCAATCTGCCTTGGATATGATGCTGCTGGGCATTCCAGTAATGCTTCTAAGCTGTGGCACAGCTTTTACTTTTGTGACTCTTACCTAGAGGCCACATGGTTTCATCTAGGGGCATCTGTGATTAAAGCTAAGCAATCATCTTTAAGAATGAAATATCAAATGAGGAATTATCTTGCTCTTAATTTAACATCTTCTCTCTAAATATATTACTAACATGAACAATGTACTCTACAAAATTGTGATTTTTAAGTCTAAATTTTCTTTTATTAGTGATTTACTTTCAAAATAATCTATTTTGGTGAACCTTCTTTGCCTGAGTAAATGAATTGAACTTGTCTGATTATGAGCCCTAAGGCAGAGGAACTTCCATGACTTTTTTCCATTTCTTTTCACTCTTCCACCTTGCTTCTGTTGGGTATTTTTATGATTGCTCCTGAGAGGTAGATCTGGATCACCTCAAGGAATTGTGTGGTTTTGTGTACATCTTTAAATATTCGGAATGAGTGTTTTAGATTAGACGCTGTGTTTTGTCTGGTGCCCTGGCATCGGTGTCAGAGAGCAGCAGGTTGCTCTTAGGAGGAGACAGGAGCCGCACGTGATAGCAAGGCAGGCAGAGGCAGTAGCGTTACCAGCCAAGGGGCACAGTTCCACAGCACCTGAGTAAGGCAAGCAGAGCAGGTCTGATGATGGTAAAGAGGTTCAGTCCAGATCACCACACAAGCCCATAGTGATGAGGCAGGCCTGCGGTCAAGCCAGGAAGCAAAGTCTGTGGCTTAGTGTTTCTGATTTAGGACTGGATGCAAAAATAAAATTATATTGGTCCAGTAGCCATTTTAGGTCCCAATTGTGCAGCTGCTATGGTAGGTAGAGGTGTTCTTCTGAGTTTGCTCTCTAGGATTATTCACATGCTGAGAGAATCTTACCTGGGTAAGTATTCATGGAACTTAAGTTCCATGACCTCTGAACTTAAGTTGCTTAGGAGAAAATGGCAGATCTTCTGCAACACCAGGTTATGGGTTACAAATACAACTATTTTAGCATGTAATGATATTTCTCAGTCAGTCATAAATAACTACATTTAACTCTTTAATATGTCAGACAATGTTAAAGCATATGTGAGGATTTAGTTGTAAAATGTTACAGGACAGAAAGAAAATGCAACTTTTTTGTTATACATACTTATCCTTGTAATATCTGAGTGCCTTCCACAATACATTGATCAGTGCAAATAATATCTGCTCTGTATTCTTTCAGCTTTTTCCCAAGAAGAAAAATTTGGATTCTTCCTTTTAAATGCAGCAACATTATTTACATTAGAGAAGGCAAATCAAAAAATTGCTTCCTTATTCAGCATACATTTCCCTAAGTATTGTGCGAGAACTTACCGTATCATGTACCCTAACTGTGGGCCTTCTTACAAGAATGCAGCCTTTGAAGATGACTTCATCCTTGCAGCTGACTCAAAAATTAAATAAAGTCATGCACTGTATTCTAATAATCTTCTCGTTAATTTTTAAAGCTTCCCTCTACAGTGAAAATGGTTTAACTCTAAAGTAGTTTTTACTTAAAAGCCTTTGAATTATTTATAGGCTTTCTGGAATATTTTTGATGATAAAGTCAGGAATTTAAACATTTCTTGAATTGGATTCTGGACAAGTAGCTAACTAAACTGCTTGATAGGAATCAACTGTACTTCTAAAAGTGATATTATTGACAAGAACTACAGATTTACAAACGGGAATATGAAAAAAAACCATATTGAAGTTATGCCACAAGGTTCCTGGAACTCTGAGGGGCAAATAGTTGAGGCATAAATCGGAACAACTCTCTTGACATGGATGGAATTGTGCTAGTTTTCACTGGCCAAGGATCTGACCCTCCAGGTGAAATTTAATTCTGTGTCAAGAGCCAGCATGAGTTCTACATATTGCAGGAGCTCAAATTAAGCTCTCAAAATAGCCTTAAGAAGTGTATATGCCTTGGCCCAACTCCAACATATATAATTTTTGTACTTTTTTTATAGGAATGGAAATTTTCACAGGTACAGACAAGAGTTCGCAGATGCCAAGGGTCTTCCTGACCGTGTGATTGTATAACCTGACCTCATACATTAGACAGCACAGAAAATCTTACTCTTTGTCATGTATTGTTAATTGGGTGCCTGCTTGATATGCCTTCTTTCTGTAAAGGCAATTTGAAGAGCAGGAAAGCCTTAACTTATTGATGTCACCTTATTTCTTTCTTCAGTGGAAAGATGTATGAATTGCATGCAAGCTGGTACGCAAATGATCAAACTCCGTGGCAGTTCCAAAGGCCTGGTACGCTTTTATTACTTGGATGAGCACAAGTCATGTATTCGCTGGAGACCATCTCGAAAGAATGAGAAAGCCAAAAGTGAGTGTCAACTGCAGAGCCTTTTTGCTGGTCCCTCCTAGGGTCTTGCCCTTTTATGTAACAAGGCAGCATGATGGATTTCATTCATTTGCAGGTGATCAAGAGGAATGTTAATGTTGTACTTGGACTTAAAGGACAATATGTGATTTTATGAAGATTAGTTTATGCAGATTTAAATTGCTGTTAGCTATGCAGGCTACACTAAGTGTGATAACTTGGAAATGAGTTGCAGGCAAACTCTGTGTGAATTTGAGACCTTGCAATCTGAGTTCTGGGCCCTTTTTGAAAATTTCTCTACAGGATTATCTTTCGCTTTTCCATCCCTGTAACTTACATAATTAGTTACCATATGACTGAAGAGTAATTTACCACTTTTTTTTTTTTTAAACTGTCAGAAGCATACACATAGGTCAAATGTAGATCAGTTCTCTGTATGTGTTGAGACAGATTTTAAGCAATTTCTTATGCTCCTGGAATAATAATAATAAAAATGAAAGACCATTCACCATCAGTTATGCTTTTTCAAGATGCAGAGGTTTGCTTTCCCTATTCCAGGTGTCTGATCTAGTGCAAAAGGAGGAGGTTGCAGTGTTTTCAGCTTATTTGCAATTATTTTCTTGTATTAACTTTCACACTCCATAGAAAAAGTATAGGTGTTTGAGAAGCAATTATTATTTCATAGACAGACGTTGCAGCCTATAATATGATAGAACTTCAACCATTTATCTGATGGAAGCCATTTAAAAAGATGTGTGAAACTGCTTTGGCAAGGAAACAGTACAGGGGAGATGAGATGTCTGGCAACAGTGGCACCAGTGGGAGGAAGACGACACCAGAAGCTGAGGAGACCAAGCTATTCTTATAGTTTTCTATTTATAAAACACTCACATATTGGTTTGATCTTTATCTCTGGACATGATTCACGGATTTACTGTCTAAAGGGGAAGTAAGTTTAATATTTTAAGAGGTATACTAGTGTTATGGTTAAACTTAAGGCTGGATTCTGATCCCACCACTCTTAAAGGCTTGCTTGTATGACCTCTGACAAATCACTAAATTCAAGCTTTTTAATGTATTTAATCAATCTCTCTGTAACACAGTATCTGTGAAACAGGAATAATAGTTCCTTCTGTCGTTTCCTTAGTTCTTGAACAGATTGTCACTGACATTGAGGGTGATGAAAACCTGATCCCTTTCCTAGTTTGGCTGTGTGCTTTCCTTGCAGATTTAGGAGCTGTCAGTGGTTGCACAGCAGAGCACAACACAGAGATCCTCAAGCAAGGAAAGACCATGTGAACTCCAGAATTGGTGTAGCTACGGCAAATCCAGGCTAAAAGAAAGGCTAGCTTGCACAAAGGGCCAGTCTGTACTAACCCAGCTCCTTCAGGACGAAACTAGTGTTTCTGCAGAGTGAACCCTACTGAGCTACAAGCTCATGTCAGTGCTAGGCCAAAGATCTCTGCACTGTGCTTACTAGAAAGGCATATGTGTAGACAGATGTGCCCACTGTCTTGCTGGGTATGGGTATAGTGCTTAGAACCAGAGGGTTCTGTTGTTCATTGAGACTTCTTGGTGCTTCTGCAGTGCAGAAAGTTGGTAATATTGTACGTGAGCTTAATAGTGAAATAGAATTAAAACTAAATCCTAAAAAAAACCCCAAAAACTTCCTCTAATAGATTTCCCCATCATTCCAATGATTTGATGTCTCAGTCAGTAGCAGTAGTTTTATTTCTTTGCTGAGACCTAAAAATTACTACAAGCACTGAAAGCACTGAACTGAAATTACAAGCATTAAGTTGTCTAAGGAAGGCTAAGAAGCAAAACCCACATGTTATTTTTTGCTGTAACAAGTTAGTGCAAATTTGGAACCAGCTGCCATTGAGCTGCATTTTAGAAATTGTTCCCAAAGGCTGTACCCTTCTTTTATATACTTTTTAAATGGTATAGTAAAACTAGCAAGTGTAACACAACTGCGAGGATAACTGCAGGATTTGAAAGTTCATACTAACTTCATAAAAAGACTACATAGAAGTAAAGCGTTCTGTTGTTAATGACATTAAGTACGTTTATAGTGTCCTCAATGTGAGTGGAGCTAGCAGCTCAGGTAGGTCATAGACCCAATATTTCAGTGTTTTCTTTTTCTTTTCTCATTCAATTTACCTACTGCCATAAGAGCCTAATAATTATGTTTCTTTGATCTTTTCATAAAAAACATGAGTAACCAGAGGTCAGGCCAACAGAAAGCACAGAGTTCTTGCTGAGTATAACATCATCTGAAAACTAACAGTAGAAGTAGAGCATGCACTGAGCTTTTTGGCAGCTTAAATTCACCTGCCTTCAGTGTGGAGCCAGTTAATAGTGCAGTTTGTATTTTCACCCTGTTAATGAAATTTTGCCTTTAAACTTCAGTCATTTGTGTTTGTATAATATTCTGTCTGGCTGCGCAGTCCATGCACCATAGCAAACAGATATCTCTGGAAGACAGTGTAACAAAGCAAAGCTGAAATTTGTGCTCGTTTTTCCTATTACAATTTCTCTTCTATCAGCTTGGAAACAGGATCTTTCCAAGGGAATAAGCGGTTAATGTAATTATAAGATACGCAGGCTGTGAGTGTTTAGCGTTTCCACATCATTACATTGAGGTAAGTGGAAGAATTGGATTTCATTGACAAGATTAATCTTTGTTCTGACCAAGAATGGCCTTTCTTGTGCTCTATTTGACCTCTGTTTCAAAGAGGTGGAAAATTGGCCATAGAGGATGACATGTCATTGAATTCTTACCTGTTTCATCCTTGTACCCGGGAAGAAATGAATGTGACTTTAAGATAACTGTACCCTCTCTGGTCTGGGGCATGCATGAGCCTGTCTGTCCTTAGCATAAATTAGAACAGGGAAAGTATTTACTGTGCAGTGGATTTTGAACCCACCCTTTTTTTCCTGGAACTGGCATCCGTGGCAGGATGAAGCCTTTGTACCAGTCTACTGGTTAAAGAAGCCCCTCATTAAAAGACTATTTGATATTATGGTAGTACTTTTCCCTCCTACTTCCAGGCTAGTGTACAGTGGGTAAGCTTTGCAAAACCATGATTCAGCATCATTGCTTTGGTTATATAATCCTAGAATCAGTCCCGCTCTTGGAGGAGGAGGAGGATAGCATCCCTTGTCTAATGAGCATTTTGGAAAAAAAGCACATACAACTCCCTCAGAGTAGACAGCTACAGTGTAAGAAAGTGGTCTGTGCACCTCTTGATTGATGCCCAGAAAAGACATAATAATGGAAGGGAGAAACAGTCTGTTCCAAGCAGGGCCTGCACTGCGGCAAGCAGTCGGCTTCCTGATCATGACATCAAAGGCATCAGCCAGCCTCCAATTAGTTCTTCCTCATTGTGTTTTTTTGGGCCAAGGAGGGGCAAGGTCTAATTTAATGTGGGATGAACATTGCTGCAGAAGCTTTGTAAAGGATAGCTCTGAATTCCAAAATTGGACTTTCCTGGATGTGTTCCTTTTTTCAAGATGCAAGACTTTGTGCCTGGTACAGTAAATAGTGTTGCTTTCTCTGTAGCATTTTTGGACGATAATGTGGCATTAAACTGATAAACAAGTGAACAAAAACTGCTCTTGGTAAGAAGGTGTTTGAACCTTCATTTGACAGTCACTGAAGCCAGATGGAGGAAGGGGACAAGGCAGCAAGTTACTTTTAGGAAAGTATAACTTTAAAGTTCTTTTGCAGCATTTTTCTGTAATAGAACAGTCAAAACCCATGAAATAATTTTGGTTGCTGATGATTTATCAATGAATACATTATGTACATTCTGTTTACAATGGATCATGTTTAGGGAAATAACTAAGAAAAAGCTCTGATTTGCTTGTAGTTGGGAGAAACTGTAAATAAACTAAAAATGCAGGTTACGCAGTCTTAAGAAAATGGAAGCTAAAAGTATGATCAAGTTATGTTAATATGCAGATTGTCTCATGTCTCTTTGCCTTCTCAGGCTATAAAATGTAGTGTTTACCTAGGCTAATCTTGTTGTAGATGCTTTTTCTTTTTGTTCGAATTGTAAGATATGCTCATCTGTTATGTCCTTAGCCAAGTAGCAGTGTAATTCAGCAGTGTAATCAGAGGAGATGACTTGCTTCAAGCAAACAAAAAGGGATTCCCTTTCTTTGAGGTCTTACTGTAAACCAGCCTGTATGAATATTTTTGTACGCACAGTCAGTAATGAGCCACATATCTTTATCCTTCTAGTCTCTATCGACTCTATTCAGGAGGTGTGCGAGGGGAAGCAATCAGAGATCTTTCAGCGCTATGCCGATGGCAGTTTTGATCCCAACTGCTGCTTCAGCATCTACTATGGAGACCATATGGAATCTCTTGATCTGGTATCTTCCACTGGAGAGGAAGCACGCACCTGGATCACAGGGCTAAAATATCTCATGGCAGGGATCAGTGATGAAGACAGCCTGTCAAAACGTCAGAGGACCAGAGACCAATATCCTTCTGTGCTATCTGAAAGAGTGTCTCTCAGCAGTGCAGTGATTAGAGATCCCAAAAATTCCTTTAAGTATTTATTTTGTTAAAAGTATGCATTAGGTTCATTCCCTGTTTCCAGAGACAGACAGAAGTTCTTGAAGAGGATTGGTATGTACACGATTTAGAGATGAATGGAGAATGGAGTGAAAAATAAACAAGTGCACTTTCTGTCACCGATTACTCTCTGTGTTAAGCTATCTATTTTATTTGGTTTTACAGAACAAAGTATGACACAACATTTCAATTTGCTCATTCTGTGCTGGAAGTGTAGGTAACTAGCCTGTGTTGCATATTGAGCATAGGAAGTCTAGAAACTGCTGCTGAAATAGCATATGAATAGAGGTGTATTGTTTATTACCTTGAACTCTTTCATCCCCAGCTACATATGCACTCTTCCCTAACATGAAAAAATTCATGCATACATAATGTGATATCATGCCCATATTGCTTATGAGAATTATAGCTCATAGGTGCTGCTAAGATGCTACAAGTGCTGCTGGTTAACTGTATTACTTTTTTATTCAGACTTTTAAAGTGTTTTGCACTAATCATAGCTGAACAGCAGCCAACAGCAGGATCTCTCTGTTACTGGTTACTATAAATTAAATGAATTGATGTAATGAATGTAATGAATGTATAAAATGTTTGACTTTTTCAAGTGTAGCGAAAGGAAGCTTTTACTTCTCTGCATTTATTAGTTTCTGTTCTGCAGCAAGTACTTTTCTGTATCACTTACATAATCAGCTATCATCATATTTTGCAAGGGCCCTATCTTGGGTGTAAGAACAACCTGAAAATACTAAGTAATTTGAGAGCCTGGCCTCAGCAAACCGCTGAAACAAGGTTTGCAAGATTCTGTCAGTCTGTGATATGACAGGAAGACTGCAAGAACTTCGATTCTTAATGGGTGGCAAAAAAAAAAAAAAAGTGCAGTTAATGACAGCAAGATGAGGTTCTGGGAATCACTTAAATTTCTTGAAGAGCAATTAGGATACGTTTGCATCATTTTGGAATACAGATTTTTATTTTACCCTGATTCTGGAAGAAACCCTGCTGCCAAGTTTAGTTCACCCTGGTATAAAGCTGTCTTATGTCACTGATCCTAGGTATGTTTGTTTTTCTGGTTTCTAGCCTGAAAATTTGTCTACGTGGTTTTAAGTCTCTCTCTCTCTTTTTTTTTAATAAAATTCAGTAATATCCCTTGATATTTCATACCCTTCCTTTAACTCCTGTTCAATGTGGTTGAAGCAGACCTTTGATGAGGCAGATAAAAATGGTGATGGCAGTCTGAGTATTAATGAAGTGCTCCAGCTAATGCACAAACTGAATGTGAACCTACCCCGACAAAAAGTCAAGCAAATGTTTAAGGTAAGGAATGAAAAAGTCCTATTTTAACAAAACAAAAACAAAAAACCTGATAGGGGAGACTGTGAGTACTGCAGCTGATTTGTTTCCACTCTGCTGAGTGTGCTATATAGTATGTTTGATATTTTAGAGCTCTAGAAACATATCATGAATAAATTGTTATTCAAAGAAAAAGAAAAGGGCATAACACCGAATAGCTTCTAGTGTTATATATTGTGAATACACACAGTGCAGACGTTACTTTTTTGCTATACATGCTGATTTGAAGTTCACTCACAGAATCTTCCCTAATTACATTCCCTCTAATAACTAGTATCTAGTTAAAGTACCTAATATCCTCTAATAAGTAGTACTAATGAAATATCCGGTATGTAGACTTTTTTTCTGCAAGTTTCTGTCTGTCTGTCATGTTTTTTGCACTGCTAAGAGCTATTTGGTTGACACTGAACTAAGGAGCTGCGTATACTTCTGTGGTCAAAAAGTTTATTGTGTGAAGCACCTAAACAGAAAATTGAATCAGTATGGTGGTACTTTGTTCTTGGGCAAATAATTGTGAATTGATATTTATATGTGGACCACAAGTGCTTTCGGTAGGTGGCTCAGTGTTGCTGTCCGTGGTGCTGAGAACTTGTTTTCAGCCCTTTCCTCAGCTGGTACAACTGCAGTAATATGGCAGTACATGAAGGAAATAAAGCCATAAAGCCTTTTTTTTGTTTGTTTGTTTGTTTGTTTTTTAATTCTCTGACTTGTAATGTCCTTAAACTTGGCAAAGGTGAGCAAATCAATATGTTGATGACTCAGTTTTTGAGAACAAGGTAGGGAATGCTGGAGAAGCTTGTTTCAGAAAATATTCAAGCATTGTCTATCCTGTTGGAGTAAAGCTTCAATTTTCCTTTTTCATACCTGTCCCCTGGCAGTTTTTTTTCTCTTTATTTTTTTTTCCATGCTTTTGGGACTAGACCTTTAAGAAACACAGTAACTACAAAATTTCTCCTCTGAGTAGTAATAATTATGTCCTGTGATGGATCCCGTTGTGGTCAGGCTATCACAAGATTTCTTGGGAGAAATTCCATCTCCACTGTGTGCAAACAGTATGTAGTACTGCTAATAGAGCTGAAGTGGTGTGCATCACAGGCTGGGGCAACTGACCCCAAAAAATAGTGTCCCAATACGTTTATGTTGTAGGGAGTCTATATACCAAAGAACAGTATCATTTACTGATATTTTATTTAGTTTTTGTGTTATAGCAAATTATTATACTCACAGCTCTTTCTAGTTATGGCTTTGGATTTAACAGGTATCCTCTCAAGTCGTGGACATAAAATTCATTTCAGCATGACTTGGCTTCTAGTGATCTTCTCAAGAAAATATGAATGGATACTTCTTCCAGACATGCATGTTCTCTTCTATCTTCCAGGGCCCAGTGTTTCATATGACAAGTATCAGCCTGATTAATCAGTCTGTTCTAGCAGGCCATACAGTGAGTAGTCGTGTCAGGCAGCATCCAACCAATGTTGCTTTATTCTGATGGAGGAGTTTGTTTAAAGCTTCTTCAGGCTATTGCTGTGCAGTTTTATATCTCATTGTTTTATTGCTGTGTAATGCAGGAGGCTGATACAGATAGTAACCAGGGCATGTTGGGCTTTGATGAATTCTGTACCTTCTACAAGATGATGTCAACACGACGTGATTTGTACCTGCTAATGCTCACCTACAGCAACCACAAGGACTACCTAGATACAGATGACCTGAGACGTTTTCTTGAGATTGAACAAAAGGTAGGCCAAAACCAGGAAAAGACTTACAGTCTGGATGCCAGAAGCCTGAAAGATTGGTATCCCAGCATATCATTTACAAGTGGCCTTTTCATCCTTTGCTTTCAAGCAAGGAATGAAAGACACAACGAGGAGAGGGTTCTTCAGTCAGAAGCAGATTAAGGCTCCTTGAAATTATAACAGACCTTGGCATCTTATGCTATAATGAGGTCATACAGGTAATCTTGAGGCTAGTCCAAACTTGTACACAAAAACTCTGGTAATACTGAGTGGCAATAGGCTTTATCCTGTCTGAGTTCAGGGTTTTTATGCCCCTAAATGGGAAGAGTTCTTGATAAACAAGAACTCGATAGCCCTGTATGAAATACGGTGCCATTGACACATCTCAATATGGAGTCCGTTTATTTTGGAGAAATTAAAATCCTGCTTAGACTAAATAAGCAAAAAACGGTTAAGCGTGTCATTTAACAGGGTTGTATCTTACGCCTGTGTATCTCCCCTAGCACATTAATCTCTTCACACTTGTAAATGGTCCACCTAATCAAACTGCTCATAACTTACTATGCTCTGGGGTACTGAGTTTTAAATGAAGCTTCTTATTTCATTTCTAAGCAGGTGAAGTTGTTTGTGTTTTTTTGTTTTTTGGGGGGGTTTTTGCAGTGGCTTTTGAACTTTCTGTGACTAAGAGAAATCATTTCAAAAGTACTGACTGCTTGCACTTTGTTTTGATCCTTAGTCCTTTCCTCACACCATTTTGTATGTATTTAGTGTACGAAACAATTGGCTGGAACACAGCAGAACATGTATAGATGCTGTACAAATGTTCTACCCACTTTACTGTGAATGCATCCCAAGTTTTCAAAATCAACAGCCTCATGACCAGATAATTCCAGTCAGATTAGATTTCTTACAGTTCAGTGAAACAGGCTACCAAACTAATTTTCAATTGTTTGAATTAGTAAAGGTATTTCAAGATTTGCTGACTCTGGAGTGGTAAATGAGCAAATGTCAGAAACAGTCTGCAATATTGAAGCTATCCACTGCTTTGGATTTTATATGATAAGAGCCTTGGAGCCCTGTTGCCTAGATGTCCTTAGCTTATTCTCTGATGGTTTTTACTGGAGTAGACAAGTGGTACTGGGAAGGAGGAAAGACAGACAGAAGCTCTGTAATTGGGCATCATTGTGAGATTTGTAATTAGTGAGCTAGTTGTTTCTCTGACGTTATCTTTCTGTTTGCCATTGCCTTTTTAAAGGAGAGGGAACTTTAGTCATGCATGTGAAAAGTGAGCACCTACTTTTATTTTACAAGCTTTGCTCAGGAGAGTGTGAATGAAACAATTGGATTTTAATCTTGTAGGCTGATATGGCTATTTCTTGAATTGATTTACTCCCACTGCCTCTTGTTCCTGTAGGGTCTTTTGTTGTGTCCCTGAACATAGTCTCTGTAGTTTCTTTCTTTCTTATGTGCTCTTTTAGAAAAATTGCATCAATGTCTGTCTTCTTCCGGTATTCAGACACTGATTTTGTCCCACTTTCTCAGTTTGTAAAGTGGGAGATTTCTGTTTTCTGAAGAGCTGTTGAGAGTTCTTCGTGTCTTGAAAAGTATTTTGAGGCTATACAGTAGTGCATAGTAGGTATTCTCTTAGTGATTAACTTTCGTTGCTGGAGTGGGTCTTAAAGACTGTATTTTCCCATTGCACTTGTCTGAAACAGGCACAGTACTTTTAGTCTATCAAACCAGGGGGTTTTTGGCCAGTAGATAACGGTAAGCATTATATCTGAAGTTGCTCATGAATCTGATACATACTACAATTCTTCAGAGACATTAATTCATAGCTTTGAGCTTTACTGTTCAAATATTGAAATGCATTTATACACTGTGCTTAAGGCTATATATGCACATTCAAGCTAAATGCCAACAAACTATTTACTGTGTTGCAATAAATACTATCCTCTTGTGTTACTATACTCAACAAGGGGTCCAGCCTACTTCAGTCGCATTAATAATTTTGCCCGTCAGTCACTGCTGCATATCAAAGGCACAGGAGTCCATTTTCTGATAGCTCTTAGAGGTTTCTCTGAGAAGAAACTAAGTCCTGGTATATTCTTATTTTTAATGGCAGAAAGTAAAGGTTTCTTCTTTTTGTATATATGGTTCATCCTCCATCATGAACCCAAACCTTTATGGAAATGAGAATCTTTGTAACCAAGCTACCTGGAAGTCAAAAACTTTTACTCCTGTGCTTCTATCACAAATACCTCTTGGTCAGGACAAGATGTGGGTCTTTCTGGTACACAGTAACTTGACAGACTAGAAAATGACAAGACATGTAGTATCTGTATCAGGAGGACATTCAGCCAGTGTAGCAGGTTGCCCTGAGAGGCTCCATCCTCAGAAGTTTTCAAGGCCAGACTGGGTGAAGCCCTTAGCTACTTGCTGTGACCTCATAGCTGACCCTGCTTTGAGCAGAATTTTGGACTAGATGACCTCCTGAGCTGTCTTCCAACCTGAGTTATCCTATAACACTATGAGCTGTTGTCTAGACACTTGTGAAAGTTTCTGAAATGAGGAAAAAAAAATGGATAGCAAGATGCAGTCAGTTCATGAACCAATGAATTGGCTTGTCTTTGCCTTTTCCCTCCCATGACCTCTTTTGAAACTGCATGCCTGTAGTCATAAATCTACATCAGAGTTTCAAGAGCTGTCGAAGAAACGAATGAATAAAACAAACACATTTCTCCTGCACTTATCTTTTTAAATAGGTGAGATATGTTCCCATTTCATTGGTCTATCGATCCTCCTGGTGAGAGAGGAAAATGAACACTAGCCATAGGAAACAAACTAGCTCATCTAATCGCTGACATGGATAATGCATGTCTGTAGAGCTTCTCTCCCATGCCTGGTGCTGTTCTTTCTCGTGTAATATGTCCAGGGAAAGCGAGTGTTCATTTTGTTCATTTGGAGCTCATCAGCAACACAGAACTAAAGAACGTTGTGGCAGCAGTGTTATAGAGATGTAGCTGGGAAAAATCTTGCTGAGGCATCTGAATTCAAAATCTCATGGAAAATGGATTTCCATATGATTGCTATATTTTGTTCTGTAGGGCTGAAATGTTAATGGAACCGGAAAAACCTTTTGTTCTTTCAGAGTTTGTCCTTCCGAACCCACCCAACCTGTAATTTATAGGCAAATAAAAGGTTAGGGTTATTTTCTTCCTCTTTTTCACTTTTATTTATTAGATTTTAAATTACTACCGGAAAAGGCATTGGTTTTGTAGCAAATATGCCAGTGGTTTAGTTTCTCCCTAAGCAAAGATTCCAGGTTGCCAAGCCATTGTCAATTTAGCCACTGTATTGGCAATCCCCTCTGGCAACAAGGGCTGTATCTTCGTGTGTGTCATGTACAGTGCCTGATGAAAAGGAGTTGTTGGACCACTCAGGACAGGAATATTAAATAATAGCACCAGTAATAATAAAATGAATAATAAATTACAGGAGTAGTAAATAATACTGTTTGCTTTGCTATATTTTTATAATTCAGTTTTAACAAAGCTACAGTAAGTGGTCTTTTTTTTTTTTTTTAATCCTAACATCTCCAAACATATATATCCCTTTCTGAGAATGTAAAGCAATCGTGAAGTTAGCAGATTTCCTCAGGGAGCTTTCTGAGAGCTGTTTCTCCTGATCCTCTGTTACCTTGCTAGTTGTAAATGATTCTTCTGTCCATTACATAAGGAAGTACCATTTTGTTGTTTTATTCTAAAGTAAAAGTCTGTGACAATGCAAATGAATCCTTTAATCCTACAACAGAAGAAAGCCTATTGGTTTGTTACAAAGCTTATCGTATTTGGAAGCTTTGTGTGGTTAACAACACTCAAATTAGATTTGACCTACAAAGCAGAACTCAGACTCTGTTTTTTGGCTGTGATTGGGCAGCTGCTAATAGGACAGAAACTTTCCACTGAGCAGCTTAGTTCTTATCTGACCTGACACTGATTGGCAGGAGTGAGAATCAAACTGGGTAATTGGAAATCCTTGTGTCACTATGGATAATCTGGACAGTTGTTGAACTGTATACAGGGAAAAGAGCTAGGAGAAACTGCGATAGCTAGTTAACAAGTTTTCCACTTAATTTTTGCTACTTTTACAGATGACCAGCGTGACTAAGGAACACTGTCTGGAAATCGTCAGTAAGTTTGAACCATGCTTGGAGAACCAGAAGGAGGGAGCTTTGGGGATTGATGGTAAGCTGACTGGTGTGGCTGTTGTAAGAGAGGGGCAGCAGAGATTAAATGCTTGTGAGAATATCGCATTTGTTTGCATCATATTTAGTTTATCATGTTATATAAAGAGTGGATTTTTTCATGTGTTTTTGATATATCTGTTGTTTACTGGAGAGCCTAAAGGGAAAATGGCACTCCTTAGAAGCTTTGTAAGGGTACATATGATAATGAAGTAGCAGTCATTGGAGGTCCGCAGGACCTGGATGAGTCTCATTTTTGCTTTTGGAAAGTAGAACTTAGTCCCACAGTTGCCATAGGTGTCTTTGGAAGTACTTTTTGTGCGCCTATACATGCATATTGGATCTTTAATAAAATGAGTTACCTGATTCAGAGTAAACATGTAAAGCAGGATGATAAGTGAAGTTTCTCCAGAAGCATGCTTTCATGATCTCTGGTGCTAATGGCTTCACTTTGAATATAATGATGCTGTACCATCATGACAGTGCCTGTTACTTCGGGGGCTGATTCTAAATCCCTTTCTGTAAATGGTAAACCTTCAGTCAGGTGTTACTGACTCCAAGAGCAGAGTTACACTACTTAGGACTTAAGATTGCATGCAAAAGTTCTAGGACTGTGTTTAAAAATCAGTCTTTTACATTTCTGGGTGTGTTGGCATAGTGAAAAATGGCAAAATGTAAGTTCTGTTTGGTTTACTGCCTGAAGAAGTGGGTCGTTTCTGGTACGTCATTTCATTTTTTTTTCCTTTAAGAAGTGGTGGTTGCTCAGAATGAATTCAGGTCTTTTCTACTCAGATTAAATTCTTTGTTGCTCTCAATTTATGTTAAAGCTCTTACCTAATGCAAAGTGAGTGTAGAAGTGGACATAGTTGTGCTTTGATTTGGTAGTGCTTTACAGTCAGTTGGCAGTCATATAAATAATAAAGATTCAGGTTTATTATCCTTCCTTCTTCATAGCTAGGAATATCAGGCTGAGCTTTTCAAACAATTTCAAACAATCAGGCTAGGCTTTTCATATCAGAAAGAAAAACTTTTAAGAAACTAGCCTGATCTATAAAAGCTTTGCTTAGGGGTGGATGATGAGCCAGCTGAGAGTTTATAGGTTAGGTTAGGGATCAGATCAACATGGGTGATGTTGCGGCAGGTGTCTGCTACAGACTGCCTCATCAAGGAGAATTAGGAGATAAGGTCATCTTGAGACAACTGGAAGAAGCCTTGCGTTCACAGGGTCTAGTCTTTATGGGAGACTTTAACCCATAATCTCTCTCCTGGAAGGACAACGCAGCAGAGCACAGGCAACCCAGGAGATTTCTAGAGTGCATTGATGATATAAGTTCCTAACAGAAATGATTGAAGAGCTCACAAGAGGTGGTGCTCTGCTGGACTTGGTACTTAAAAACAAGGAAGAAAAGGTCAGAGATGTTAAGGTCAGGGGCAGCCTTGGCTGCAGTGACCGTGGGATGATAGAATTCAGGATCCTGAGAAAAAAGAACAAGGCAAATAGCAGGATAACAACCCTGGGCTTCAGAAGAGCAGACTTTGACCTCTTCAGAGACCTGCTTGGAAGAATCGCGTGGGATACAGTCCTGGAAAGAGGAGGGGTACAAGAAAGCTGGTTAATTTTCAAGGATCACCTCTTTTAAGTTCAAGAATGGTCTATTCCCATGTGCAGGAAGTCAAGCAAAGGTGGCAGGAGGTCTGCGTGTATGAACAAGGCTCCTGACAGAATTCAGACATAAAAAGGAAGCATATAAGAGGTGGAAGCAGGGTTAGATCATCCAGGAGGAATATGGAAGCACTGTCTTGAGTGTGCAGGGATGGTGTTAGGAAAGCCAAAGCCCATCTGGAGGTGAATCTGCCGAGGGATGTGAAGGGCAACAAGAAGAGTTTCTACAGGTATATCAACAGCAAAAGGAAGGCTAAGGAAAATGTGGCCCCGTTTCTGAGTGGGGCAGGGAGCATGGTAACAGAGGACATGGAATGGGCCAAGGTACTCAATGCTTCCTTTGTCTCGGTCTTTACTGGTAAGATTTGCCTTCAGAAATCCCAGGCTCCTGAGATTAGTGGCAATGAAGACTTAGCCTAGCTGGAGGAGGATCAGGTTAAGGAATGTTTAAACAAAGTGGACATACATAAGTGCATGGGACCTGATGGAATGCATCCATAAGTGCTGAGGGAACTGGCCAGTGTCTTTGCAAGGCCACTCTCGATTATCTCTGAAAGGTCATGATGATAAGGGGAAGTTTCTGATGAAAGGGAGTTTTCTGGGAGAAAGTAAAAGTCACTCCTATCTTCAAAAAATGCAAGAAGGAGAATCTGGGAACTCCAGGCCAGTCAGCCTCACCTGTATCCCTGGAAAGCTGATGGAACAAACTCATGGAAGCAATTTCCAAACATATCAAGGCCAAGAAGGTGATTGGTAGTAGTCAGAATGGATTTATGAAGGAGAAATAATATCTGACCAACTTGATAGCCTTCTGTGGTGGAATGACTACCTTGGTGGATGGCGGGAGAGCAGTGGATTTTTATCTTGACTTTAGCAGGGGCCAGCACTGCTTAGCATGTTCTTTAGTGACCTGGCAATAGGACAGAGTGCAACCTCAGCACATCTGCAGACAGTACAAAACTGGGAGGGTGTTTGATAAACCTGATGGTTGTGCTGGCATTTAGAGGGACCTCAACAGGCTGGAGAAATGGGCATACAGGAACCTCTTGAAATTCAACAAAGGGAAATGCAAAGTCCTGCAGCAGAAAAAAAATGCACCAGTACAGCCTGGGGGCTGACTGACTGAAAAGGAGCTTGGAAGAGAAGGACCTGGGGTGGACAATAAGGTGACTGTGAACCAACAATTTGCCTTGCAGCAAAGAAGGCCAACAGCATCCTGCGCTGCAGTAGGAAGAAAGTTGCCATCAGGTTAAGGGAGGTGCTCTACTCAGCAGTGGTAAGACCACATCTGGAGTGCTGTGTCCAGGTCTGAGCTCCCCAGTACAAGAGACATGAACATACTGGAGCAAGTTCAGCGAAGGGCCAGGAAGACGAGTAAGAGACTGGAGCATCTTTCATATGAGGAGAGGCTGACAGAGCTGGGACTGTTCAGCCTAGAAAAGAAAAGGCTCAGGGAGGATCTTATCAATCAGTATAAATACCTGATGGGAAGGAGTAAAGAAAAAGGAGCTAGACTCTTCTCACTGGTGTCCACTGACAGGACAAGGGGCAAAGGGCACACATTGAAACACAGGAAATTCCATTTAAACATAAGAGAACTTTTTTTTACTGTGAGAGTGGTCAAACACTGGAACAGGTTGCCCAGAGAGCTTGTGGAGTCTCCATCCTTGGAGATGCTCAAAACCCAACTGAGCAAGGCCCTGAACAACCTACTCTAGTTTACCCTGCTTTGAGGAAAGAGGTTGGACTAGATGATTTCCAGAGGTCCAACTGCAACTATTCTGTAATTCTGTGTGATTTGATGAAAAGGAGATAAAAAGATTCCTGCTTCCAGAAAATCTTGATGAACTGGCTACGTATTTTTTGACAATCTCTCAAATACTCCCTCAGTTAACTCCAGGTAGAGTAAGCATTAATTCCAAAGCAATCTTTTAAATCTGCCTACAAAATTATACATATGTACATGCATGAATATATATGTATACACACAGAGTCATTCTTTTTTTTGTCTTTGTGTGTAATCGAGACTCTAAATCTCTCATTTTCCATAAAGCAGATAGGGAGTTGCATAGAGAGGCTGCAATACAACAGCTGTGGAAACTAAAAACTTTTGTTTATTTCTCAGATTGATACAGCCCAGGCAAAAGCATATTGCCCACACTTCAAGGCACTTCTGTAGGAGTAGTGAAATAGTAAAGCCTTTATTGCCCATTCATACCCATTCATGTGTCTGTATTGACTCACAGGAACAAATTTGTGTCCTCAGCTGTGATGGTTTTTTTATCATGAAGCACCTAGGACAGGCCTGAGACAACCAGCTCATTCAACATGGGCTTGCAAAAAACCTCTCTGTTGATCAGAGGAAAACCTTCCCTGAGCGTGTAATTAAATGCTTGAGGTCTTTGGTGTCCAACGCTACCATCACTGTATCTTGGTTAGTTCAGTTTTTTCGTTCTAGGGTTGATGGATCCAGTTAGTATGAACTCATTTATAAATTTTGATATTGTATTTTAATGAGTGCTTAAAGCAAACAGGAGTGTTGTTTCAGAGGGTGCTGTGACAGTAGTGTGTGGAATCACTCTTGTAGCATCTGATTGGCTTGTAGTAAAAAGAAATGATTGATTTGCTAAGGGCCACTAATGCTATTTTTGCTGGCATGCACTGTGCCATGTCCATTTTTCGTTGTATCTGATCTGACTTGGTCAGTCTCTTGCTTTTACTCAAGCTGCATTAATAGTTTGCTCGTTGATCATTGAGTCTGTGAGACTGGCCTAATGCTGTAATTCTTTGTCAGGCTGTAGGATTTATTAGACTGCATGTTTAAAGTGATGTTTTACTAGCTTGCAGTTAGCCCATAAGGTGTGACATTGGGTGATCTCCAGTTTGGTTTCTGGCAGGCTTTATATCATGTGTTTCACAAGCTTGCATGAGGTCTTAAACATTTTCATCTGAGAGTGCAGTTTTGGCCTATAAGGTCTTATACATATGTATATTTATATAATTATTAAAAGCTGATTTCATAAAATAACAGTTGTATTCTTGTGGAAAGATGCCTTTTTCTGTCTACCCAGGGAGGAAATTCGAACAGCGATCCTCTTATTATAGAATTATTTGCACTTAGCGTTATTCCTGAACAGTTATTCTGTTTAAACAGAATGTTAACATTCCAGAATGTTTACACAATTAGCCCTAAAATACCTTATGTAGTTTTTTTTCCTACAAAGACAAATATCTAGAAAGAAACAAACTTTCTCCCTCTCCACAATACAGATTTTTCTCTTTTGTTATTGACTGTATTTTCACAAATATTAAAGTGGACAAAGCTGTGCTATTTTTCGCATACTTTTCACTTGAGGAATCGTTTTTCTTAAGAATGGAAGTTTGACTGTTTTTGCTTACAAGATTTGGGAGCAGGGGCTGAGCTGCCCAGAAAGGCTCAGTTTACAGCCGCTTTCCAGCACAACTCTTAAGCATATGGCATTGTCTACCCGCTTAAAGTTAAGCATAAGCTGAGCTACTGTGCTTTGCTTCAGGCCCTCCCTAGAAGAAACGTATTTGAGTAGACTGAGGTTCCCTAGCATCGTCTCTTAGCGTTTTGTTCAGTATCTAAATGCAAAAAGTTTTGGCTTTGATTTGTATTTAACAATTCATTTATTTTAATAAAACCTTAATCAACACAAAATGTAAAGCGCATACCACCATAAAGGTGAATTTTTATCTTAAGTTCTGTTCAATCTCAATTTCTCTGTGTTCCGTAGACCAATACTGTGAGACTGATTTTGAGGGTTGGGGTTATTTTCCCTAGTGTAGCTTTAGTGAAAACAATATACCCATCTGTCACAGTGGGAGAAAGTACACTTCTTCAGAAGCTTGGCAGCATTTTTGTATAGGCACTGTTTTATTTATGGAATAATAAGCCAAATATCAGGAGAATTTAAAGTTTTGAAGCAGAGAACCTAATGAATAAAGGCATCATCACTGTCAACAGCTGTTAAAGCCAGGAGGTGAAAGGGAATCTTAGCTTTTCAGTAGTGGTGAATGAAAAGAATTTTAGGGCTGCTTGATTTCATATCAAACATGTAAAAATGTAACTTGCTAAAACTTTACTTCCAGCTGTTTTTCTTCACTCTTATTCAGAACTGTAAGTATGATGAATGCAATACAGCAATTGTTCAGGCCATGTAGTCTGCATTACCTGCAAAGATCCCACTACTATGGAAAATAAATTCTTTTGTTAACATTACTGAATGTACCCCAGATAATAGATGTTCTAGTGCCAAATCTAGATTATTGCAGTGAACTTCAGCCTCATAAAGTGACAGATAGTAATGTAACGCTGCAGCTCTCTCCCTTCCACATGCATATGTGTGCATATGGTGTCTTATCAAAATTAGAGGTTGTTGTGTGTACAAGCCAGGGACGGAATGTTGTGGGTCAAAGATCCCAGTGCACAGTCTACCTTGTGTGCTGACATTCTTTTGATGTTTTCGGGAGAAACAGAGGAGAGGAGAGAATCTCCCTGGCCTCAAGCTATGTTGGGCCAGTGGAAACTATCTACAGGCAGTGCAATAACATCTATCTTTCAACTCATCTCACTGATAAGCAATGCCCGGATATGACCACATATCTCTGGAGGCTTTCATGCACCATGCCACTTAATGTCCCAGCAGAATCTTTTGAATTATAAACCTACAATATCAGATTCAGATTAAATGCAGTCCTACTTTTCAAGAAAGGCAGAGTAGGAAAGTGTACAAAACAACTAGTAATAATGTCAAGTCCCAGATTCCTGTTCCTAAATGGTAGTTCTCCAAATATCACAGATGCTCATTGTGACAAATTGTTGGTATATAGTAGTGTTATTTATTTGTTCATTTTGCTTCACATGTTCATGAACCTGTTGGTGAATGTAGGGGTGCATTTTGAGGCTGTGGTCTGGGAAGGTTACAGCAACAAAGTGGAAAAAAATGTATTATCTGTTGTGTTATTCATTTGCAGGTTTCACCAATTACATGCGGAGTCCATCAGGGGATATATTCAACCCAGAACACTATCAAGTGAATCAGGATATGAGTTATCCTTTGAGTCACTATTTCATTACCTCTTCACATAATACCTACCTCACAGGGGATCAACTGATGTCTCAGTCTAGGGTAGACATGTATGCATGGGTGCTACAATCTGGCTGTCGTTGCGTAGAAGGTAAAGATCAAAAGTAATCATCAATAGACTCCATAGTTTTATCTCTCCTCTATAAAGGAAGAATAATGACTTCTGCAGAAGACACAGTAGAGGAAAAAGCCTAGTAAAATGTTGTTTTCCCTTCATAAAGAGCAACAGAATAACGGTGCCATATAAGATACATTTTCTTGAATGTGGGAATAAGGAAGACATATAAAGGGGTAGTGTTGCTAGTACCAAGAAAAAAAAAATTACAAAAATGTATCTGTAGAAAGAATACTCCCATTTAGTAGAATCTGCTGGTGTATATAATTTGTTGCAAGCATATGGCAACCAAACTGGCAAATAGAACAGAGTTCCAACTAGATAGAGGAGGGGAGCTGGTATTTCTGTTAAGGTAAGTAGGTTCATATGCAAAATATTGGCAATCTCTGCGCTCACCAATGTGCCTTGCTGTGAAATCCATTCTGAAGTTTGCAGTGCCTTTCAGAGGTAGTACCTGTTCTGCAGTCATTTATAATGTACTGACCATCAAAGGTTTTCCACAATTCTTCCTGTAGTAATAATAATCCTTAGCACTTGTTAAAAGAGATCTATTTTCCTGGGGCTTTTTCCCCAGTCATCTGTTCACAGTAGAATCTCAAGGCCAGGAAATTTCTTCAGAGAAAGGACATTCAGCACAGTTCAGCGATAGATACAGATGAAGGGTGGGAGTGAACCTATGCCTTGCTGTGTGGCTGGGTTCCTGAAGAGGACTGCAGGGTCTCAAAGTCTTCTACAGATAATGGCTGCAGATGTTAATTGTCTGATGGGTGTCGTCGTTTCTGTTCTACAGTTGACTGCTGGGATGGGCCAGACGGTGAACCAATTGTCCACCATGGATATACTTTGACTTCCAAAATTCTCTTCAAAGATGTGATTGAAACTATCAACAAATATGCCTTTGTCAAGAATGAGTATGTATTTGGGCTGTCACCTTCTGAGTCTCAAGGTTATAAACTGTAGTGCTCTCAGGCATCGTTGTAAAGGTTAAAAGACACCTCCTAACCTGTTACTGCATAAGCCAGACAAGCATTAGAATTCTAAATTATTTTCTATGGGGAGAAAGCCTGCAGAAAGAAATAGCAAGGCAAAATTGACTGAATAGGGACATTGTGTAGATAGTTGTGGGGCTGTCTTTATCCCATCCCTAGAAGGCAAGAGACAGAAACATGTTTTGACAGTGAATATTGTTAGCAAATATCTGACAGTTCAGCCACTTATCTCAGCACTTATCTATGCACATTCTAGTGATGCCAAGATCATACTCAGATGGTTGTCCCAAAGATGGGTGGCAAGTCATGTAACAAAGGCGTACAAAGAGATAGGATCCCAGCTGTGGAGAAAGCAAATTGTTCAAGAGAAACAGGATTTTTCTCTATATGCATATTGCTCAGAAGATCACAGAATTATAGAATGAGAAGTTTTGTAAAGCTGACAGTACTATCAACCTTTCAAGAGTCAAAATGTTTGTGTGAATATATCTTCTCCTTTTTGAAAAAATAAACTAATGTATCTTTATGGAAATCTTCCACTGACTTCACTGAGTGTGAATCAGGTCACCCAAATATGTCAGACAGTCTATCTTCATTAATAGAGCTAAACTTGCGTTGAAATTTTAGTCCAGGTAAACTTACTGTGAGCCTGAAAATTCTAGTGTCTGTATGAGGGCTCTGACATGGTAAAGAAAACAAAGGAAATCTGACCAGCAAAATGTAGAGCAGTGCTTCTGAAATTGTAATTCTTAAAACTGTATGGAAAATCTCTTTGGAGATTGATGGAAGCTAACCAGGTTTCTGTTACAATTTATTATTTGTGTAGAGTTTTTTTTTTTTCTTGATAAGTATTGAAGCTGAGTCAGAGTTTGGTACCAAAGAAAAATGGTGCATATTAGGCTTGCTGGTGTTTTCTTTCTCAGGGTAAGGCTGGAGGCATAGCTGCTGGTAGGTTGCAAGCCCAGCTAAGGAACTAGCTTTGGGCAAAGCTGAGTTTAACTTTGGCAAAATTTTGTCCTGGTGGCTTTTGCTGAAAGTGTAGTTTTTCCTGATACGGAGCTAAGGAGGGCCAGATGTCAGGGTAGACATCACTTTATTCATAATTAGTTTGTAATTCATACTTACAAAAGTGCACTGTATGTTGGCTTTTGTGCTCATCCTAAGAATGCATCATCTCTAAACTTAACAGGAATCCATCTTCAGTGTATTTATATGTGACACCAACCACACTTGTATTGAAGTTTTATGAGTCTTATCTTGATGCCTTTGAAATCGAGCATTGTGATTCCTTGACCTCTACCTGGAGAATCAACAATAAATGACAACAATAATAAAACTAAATCTAGAAATAACGTTAAATGTCTTTGTAAAAGAGGCTCTTTGGACAAAAGCTGCAGGTTTGTTTGTATGACATTGCCCTTTTGCCAGCTAGAAAGATTTTCACAGAAAAACTAATATGACAGGTTTCTCCATTGGTTGTTGGAAGTGGGAAGGTAAAGACAAAGCCCATTTGGGGATCTTTTCAGTTCTTGGAACTTTTCTTCACTTTTGCCTGTGAAAGTAGGAGAGAGGTGAAGGACAGTTCAGGGAGGGGAGTTGAAGGCACTGACTACATTTGGTCAAGGCTGGCTTGTTAAAGACTGATAGAAAGCGAACATCAGGACTCGGTAGCGTAGGAAGATGAAAAGCATGCTCTGGAAAAAATGTGTCAAGTCCGAATGCAGAAACTGAATTATCCTCTGGCTGTCAAAAATGGACTATTCAGTTTGGAGTGAGTAGTGGGGTATCAGTCCTGTGCCCAAACTGATTTATTGAACTTCACTGGATTTCAATAGTGGTGCCTATTACAGTCATGGCTCAGGCAGTAATAACACTTACCCTCTCTAGTGTTGTAAAAGCTAAATTTGCAGTTGATGATACTTGCTTATGTCTCTGCCAGGTACCCTGTTATCTTGTCGATTGAGAACCATTGCAGTGTTGTTCAGCAGAAGAAGATGGCACAGTATCTTATAGAAATACTGGGAGACAAACTGGATCTGTCTTCAGTGCGCAGTGAAGATATTACCAAGCTCCCTTCACCAGCGAGTCTTAAAGGGAAGATACTGGTTAAGGTAAAAACCTACCTGTTTTCACTCCTTCCCTCTTGTGATGATTACAAGCTCTACCTGTTATGAGGGGGCTAAACAGATACAGCTGTGTCATGCAACCTTGTGTTTTAGTGGGAAGTTTAGTGTTGCCTTTGTCACTCACCACCAAGACGTGTTTTTTTTTGGTTGGTTTGCTGTTGATTTTGGGGATCTTTTTTTGTGTGGGCTTTCACTAAAGAAGTTGCCTACACACTAATATAGTCACTAAAGCTGCTAACATCTGTGATAATGCTTTGTTGAAAAACGACTTAAGTCTACCTTACTGTAACGTTCTTCATCACTTCTTCACACTTCACGTTCTTCCCATGTTATTTTGAATCTAAAAACACTAGGGTGCTTGCTCTTAGAATTACCTTTTTTGGCCTGAATCTGCTGAGTACATAAGAGATTTTAACAAATACCTATTCTCAGTTGAGAAGTTCTGCTTTAAACCCAAGCTACTGCAAATGTATCTGTCTGGCTTTTATTGCAAGCTCTGTACTTTCTGTATTCACTTAAGTTTTGCTCAGAGCTTACAGATTTCTGTCCTAAACATTTGATTGTTCTCCCATGAATTAGAAAATATCACATCTCTTATTTTTTCCCCTTTCATTCTTTCTTGTTCTTTCTGTATGTATTTTTGTAGGTTTTCTTTGCGGAGGATGAGAGAGGACAAGCTTATTTTATACAGAATCCTGGCTCAGTGTCTTTGCACACACTAAACCTTAGTGTTTGCTTGGAATAGTATCATTTCCACTTTTCCTAGGAATTACTCTTGTTTTTGTCATGAGTGATGCCATTTTTTTCTGTGTCAGAGCAAGAGCTGCATGCTAACCTGTCTGTATAAACATTCCACGTTCTAGGGGAAGAAACTTCCAGCCAACATTAGTGATGATGCAGAGGAAGGTGACGTGTCTGATGAGGACAGTGCTGATGAGATTGATGATGATTGTAAATTAATGAATGGAGATGTAAGTTAAGTGACCATTGAAATGTAAATGTGTGTTAAGATTTCCCATCACAGTGAGAAGGAACCTTGTGTGTGCTCTTTGGAATATGGATGTGATATAATCTTTGTGACTCATCACAATTTTTTAAGGTCTTATGTCTTCCTGCGGACAGGTTTGACAAAAATACATACTAGACAAGGCCAGTTGTAGTGGTAGTGCTTGAAGTTTGGAATTTTGTGTCTTTTAATATTTGAAAAATGTCTCTGTATGATTCTTTTTCGTGTCACAGTGTTCTCCCCTTCAAATGCAAAAAAAAAAAAAAAACTACCTGTGTCAAGGTGTCAAACTGGTCACTGTTATAGAGCAGTCCTTTAGTTTACTGAATGCTGGGTTTCTTTTTTTTATTATTATAAGGAGGTGCTAAAAAGGGGGGAAATGTTCATCTCTGCTTTCTTAAGTTTGAGAATATTTATCCTTTCATCCCTTTTAGAAGAAAAATTCTTCTGGCACTTTAATTTTCTGGCATGCAGGAAGTGTGGCATTACAGCTCAGAGAAACAATGTAAAAGAGACATCAGAACCATTTAATAACATAAACCAGACTGCCTTGGAGATATATTGCATTTGTAATCCTCTCTCCTTCAGAATATTTCCTCATTTTATATTATGGATATGAATATTTTGATTTAAAACTAACAGAGAAGCTTCTTTATGAGTAAATCTACGTAGGGAGGAAAATAGTGTTGATAGATTGTATTTTAGCGTAGCATTTTTCAGTATTTTAATTCTGAGATTCTATAAAGTTTTTGATACTGTATTTTATGATTTTTCACTTTTTGTCTTTGCATGATGCAACTTTTCAAAGTGGAAGGTATTGTACAGCCAGTGGTGACAGAGCAGGCTTCCACCTGTATGGGAGCAGTTATAGTATCAAGGACCGACCATTTTGAACAGGGGAAACAATGAGTTCAAAGCCAAACCAAAAGCTTTTACAAAACATTCAGGAGCTACCAATGTAGTTATCTATACAGGGAAACTAGAACTAGGCAAGCTGAATAAAATGAAAATTAATCGGACATTTCTTGACTTTGAAACTTTTTACTATGATAGGCAAAATACATTCAGCTTGTTCTTCTGAATTTTCTAGTTCTTTTGTCTGTGTCCCCTGGTAAGGCAGAGTATTTCGAATAGCTAAAGAAGAAAAAGGAAGCGATGTCACAACCCTGCTGAAATCAGAAACACTATGGTACTTAATTTTGTAGATTTTCCAGCTAATTTCTACATTGAAGAAGGTTTGGTTCCAGAGGATCCAGCTCCAAATGCTTGAACAAACAGAAATGTTAGAGGATCTTTCATTGCTAGAAATGACTTTTGCCATGATCCTCTTTAACTCAGCCCACACATATACTGTTAGGAAAGAGTTGGCCAATGATGTTTATTTTTCCTCCATTAAATGGATGGAGAGATGAGTGCTAGGAAGAAAGTGTCATCTTTCTTAATAAAATTAGCGAGTAACATGTTATGGCTGGTGTATTACTTTCACTAAGACTTTGCTGACTTCATTGTCTTTTTTTACTAACAGTTCACTTTGCTGTGAGGTTTGCAGATGTCTAACATACGAAATTTGTTACATCTGATTCTATTTATAAGCCAAACTTTGAAGAGCTCAGAAGATCATAGCTGGTTTCCTGACAGAATTAACTGGGAATTTTTAAGGCCTACTGAGGAAATAAAATCTTTTACCTTTTAAAAGACCTGGAATTGTGAGTTTAGGCCTTGTGAATGAAAAAGAATCGAAAAGATGAAAAGAGGTTTCTGTTTTAATTTCCCTCTCTTCTTCACACAGGCTATGATCTACCCAGAAGGAGGGATCAGGAATTCTCCTAAATTTTGCCCTTGAACTACCGAAATCCAGATTCTAAAGCTACTCCCATTCCATCCAGTTGAATCTTGCATCTATTGTAGTTGCAGAATCAGCCTTTACATAGCATATGAATGCTTTCCATCAACCCCAATGTGTGAGAAATACTCAAACTCTGCATATATATCCTTAACTATTAAACTTCAGTGAAGAATAGCTTATTAAACAGCACAATGGAATAGATGAATTTTTTTACTAAACAGATATTGCAAAACATAGCATATATTAATCGAGTTCAGTAGGAGGAATCATCTCAATATTAATTATGTTAGCACATCCTTGGCTTTTAACAGAAGCATGTGTCATCTGAATAGCTTTGCTAATGGTCAGTCTTGGTTCCTTTCAACCATTGAAGAATGACTTTAATTAGTTTTACTTCCTCTGTTTTCAGGTAATCTGTTTACACTTTAGATCTAACATCTGTATTAGGGTTTCTCATGTCTGCATATCTTCTGTGAAGTCTGATATTGAGCTGCAGGCAATTGCTTCAAAGTATGCGAGTGAAGAAGTTGCTGGGTTATTTGGCATTCTCCAAAGTAGTTACTAATAGTCAATTAGAGCAAATCCTTCAGCTAGTCTTTTTTTTTTCCTTTTCCATCTTTTTCATACACATAGCATTTCAGTTTGTATTAATCCTGACTGGAATTACTAATACTTTTTTCATCACTACCTTGTTTAATGGTTCTGTTTTGTTTGTAGGCATCTACTAATAGGAAGAGGGTGGAGAATATAGCAAAGAAAAAGCTTGACTCGCTGATAAAAGAATCCAAAATCCGTGACCGTGAAGACCCAAACAATTTTACAGTCACCACTCTGCCGTCGTCAGGGAAGGTTGGTCAGAAATCAGAAATTAAGAAGGTGAACATATTTTATTGTTCTTCACTCATTTGTAGAGTTGACTGTTATTTTTTTTTGTGTGTCTGTAGCTACCTAGTGCTGTTATTTCATAACAATCATGTTTACTTTTTAAAAGATGAAGGTCTAAGGTTGGGCTTCTAAATCTATTTTGAGGCTCTCAAGTAAAGATGGGTTAATTTACTTGAGGCATCTGCAGCTATTATAGTACTAATGAAACTGAAGAATGCTCCACTTCCCTTAAAGCAGGATGCTGTGAGCCACAAGATTAGTGTGAATTTAGAATCACTGCTTTGGCAGTTTTGGCCAAAAATTTTAAAGGACCTTGAATTATGAAAGTGTAATTTTAATCCATGCTCCTTCCGTGGGCCACAGTGAAAACCAAGAGATCGTTCTGTGGATGACTGGAAGAGATTGTTCTATTTGTTCTTCTTTTATGGCCCTTTCTGATGTAGCTGGGGTTTTTTTGTTTGTTTCTTCATTTTGCTTTTAAAATCTGTGAGACTTCAGCTCAAGGAATTTATGCTTTTGTAATGACTAGTATTGTTTTGTTGTGGATGAATCCTGTGGGCTTTATGCTTATCCTACCTTCTAGATCATAAAGCTCTTTGAAAAGGCGTGTGATGGTGTTTATTTTTGTTAGAAATGCTGAGTGTACGATAATCTGATTTATCACTTAAGAATTGCTATTTCAGGAACACAATTCCATGGCGCATTCTGCAGGAGATAAATTCATAGTAAGGCTGAAACCCCTTAATTCTTGACTTCAGGTTTTTTTTCTCTCCCGGTGCGATTATTATATTTAAAAGAAACATTTGCACTGCCGGTGTAACAAACCATACTTCTTGTGATGTATATAATACTAAACTTATAACACACTAGTTAACCACAGGCATTAGCTATTCTTTGTGTAAACAAAGCCATTTCATCAGATAAACATTAAGAACTGGAAGCCAGATCATTCATGACAAAACTCCAAGTTAAATTTTACTTCAGTGAGAATACTGCTACTAATAATAAATTGGATGGATTGTGAGGCTTCATGATGCTCTTGGTCTGAAACTTTGTTATTTCATTTGATTGCAAACTGACAAAGCATATTATAGCTTGATTTCTAACAGACTTGTTCATTATATATTTGTCATATCTATGCATATTGTCCCTGTAGAGGGGGCTGCTTAGCTTTCAAAGCAGAGTTTGTTACGTAAAAAGCAATACATATTCATCTAAAGTTAAAAGTTTATCTCAGATCAAGTCTGAGGAGAATTTAGTTCCAGTAAGTTTTCAAGCACATATTTTACTATTTGGAGGGTTTTTATGCCGATGGAGCCAGATGTGTAGTCACATTTAATCCTGAATGAATGGATTTGATTTTCCAATCTGGAGTTTTAGGTTACAATAGTAATGGGACTTCCTAGTTTTCATCTGAATTGTCATAAATATTTGGTTTTGGTTCAGATCCACATTCACTGTTCAGCGCTGGATGCACTGTGTGCAGTGAGACATACAGGGTGTCTTATTATCCTATGATAAACCGTTAATATCAATTTTAGCAGGTGTTCTTGGAGACACAGCTGTCATTAGTAAACTGGGAAAGAAACTTATCTTCCTCTTTCCTGAGGTAGATAAGTTCAGAGGATTCATTTTATCCATCAAACAACTCGGTGCTAGTGGAAACTTATTTTTGGAGCCACAAACTAGAAATGTTCAAAGCCACTTCTGAAAGGGTTCAGTGGGAGCAGAGAGAAAAGAGGCTGGGTTTGATATTTGAAAGGAATGGTATCTGTAAATATTAGCTGGTCTGCCAAGATGCTTCACCAGTTCTCTTCATCTTTTAAGAAGAGGTATAAATACAGTGTTGCAGAGTTGTCTTGTTAAACAGGAAAGATGAGGAGAAAGTGTTTTGTGTGAGCTAACAGCCTGGTGAGAAATGCAGAAGGATTTGGTATCAGTAAATACTATGCTTTCCTATGACTTTTGCTTATAGAAAAGAAATGAACTAATGAAGTGTGATGCCATTGGGTTTGTCTGTTTGTTGTAATAGATGCAGTCATAGCACACAGTCTCTGTTTCTGGATCCCTTGCCTGTCACCCTGAACAATCATGCATTGTTTAGATTTAGTGAATCTGGGACTATACTAAACAGTTTTATAGTAATATGTGGGTTACATATAATTTTAAAATACAAATTAGTTTGGTTGTTGAGTTATTCGTTGTGTCAGCCTTACTGAAATCAGGGAGATTGGAGCAGATAGGGTTGCAGAACCAAGTCACATGAACACATGGATAAGGCTGTAATCACTTTCCTCTGAACTGCAGCTGTGACTAGGGCAGGACAGAGCAGCCATTTGACAGCTCATAGCAATGTTATACAGTATTTTATGACAGTAGCTTAGTGTCAAGTAAATATCTTAACTCAGACTAAGGTACATAGTCATGAAAGTTCTATGCTCACCAAAGAGCTGACTTCATTATTCATGATGATACAAGCAGGACATATAAGGTACCTGGCAAAATGATCTGCTGTTGTGATTCGGCTTGAGTAACTGTGCCATTTGGGCTTGTAACCATTAGCTGGACTTGTCTTGACCAGCACATAATTTTCTTGGTGTAATGCATTCATGCTGCCTACACTGCCAGGGCCAAATGCAATTCTTAATTAAGAGCAGCATACGCAGTCTTGGTAGTAAGCAGAAATGTGATGCTTTTTTTGGCAGAGGTATTGCATAAGTCAGAGTATGTGCTTTTTCTTTCCTAGCACCTTCTTGTCTGGAAAAATGTTATGGCCAAATTAATTCACTTTTTTGTTTGTTTGCTTTTTGCATCAGTTCAGTATTAGTAGGTGTGGAAGAGGGTAAGAGAGTCTACCTTGAGGGACACCAACTATCAATGACTGTTCCAGCAAGTCATTAAGACCCAAAATGAAATGAGGCACTGGGAACACTGCAGAAGGGCTCAGCTTGCAGAGACTGACTGGTAGTCATTTAAACATTCAAGCATTTAGGAGGGCTCAGTGCTGATTTGTACAAATGGAATTATACATTACATAATGCAAAATAACAATAGCCCTTAAGCTAGGAACTGCATTCCAGCAGCGGAAAAGCCAGCTCTAAATAATTTGGGAATGTGGCTTTGCAGGAGGCAGCACTGTGATGTTGCACTGCTGTGGTTTCATGTCAGATCATTGCAAATAGCTTCCTTCCCTATCTTGGCAGCAGAAAATGAAGTTATTCAGATGTGGAGTAGTGGCTTTCTGTACCGCTAGTTACAGTGTTCAACCTCATTCTTTCTTTTGCTCTCTCTTTTCTAATTTTCATTAGACTATGCATTTGAATATGAGCTTGCATACTCAGAATAATGTTTCTTACACACAGATGTGTTAATTGTAGCATCTAAAAAGCTAAGGAGAAGAATCTGGCCTAGCCATAGCACTAAAATATGAATTCGGTGGAGTGTATTTGCCATTACCTCCCACCCTCCTGTCTCACCCTTTAGAACACAGAGTTTTGTGAGATGTTTGGTAGTAAGTGCAGCTGTAGAACAGTGATTTAGATCTTGTTAGAATTGCATCTTTGTTTTAAGTTCAATGGTTTGCCTTCAAGCCATTTGATCTTGAAGCGGCAGCTTGTCTTCTTTTCTTAGATTCTATCTTAAAGCTGAAAGAAAAGTCTGAAAGCTTTCTAGGCTGACCTAAGACGTAGGACTCATCAGCAGGGCAATACCGTTGATAGAAAACTATGCTATTGGACATCTGTCCTTCAGAAAATTGTGATCTGCTGAAGTGATTCATGGACTAATGATGGAACCCAAATAGTTTATTCTGAAAACTTGACTCACTTGCTGTCAGCTTGCCTCCTTGATTCTTCTGTAGTCTACCTATTGAAGAATCTGGTCTATATCTTTCTGAGAGACTGCTGAGTATGGTCAAAAAGCCACGCAGGCTTGAGACTTTGCAGCAGGATCTACATCTCTGGGCTAATGCAACAGTGGACTGCTTTAGAGCCAAAGATCTATTTCCTTTCACCAAAAACTATTAATTTATTTTAAAATGGCATGCCTACAATAATATATTATCTACTATTGGGACGTGGAGACGTTTAAGGCTGCCTTTGAGAAGCAGGAAGTTCCTGTAGCCCGCTCAGTAAGCACATAACAAGTGCAAATTGTTACTGAGCCCACAGCATACTACTGAGTTTATTTGCACCAATCCATATGGGTAGACAGAGTTAAAGCTAGAGTTCTTCCATTCTCAGAGAAGTGTCTGTGTGCAATGTATTTTATAAGCATTTACTCAATAAAGGAGGATTGTTAATTACAAATGGGAAATTACGGGACAGAATGAGGTAGATTTCCAATTTACCTAGTGATTTTTTTAGCCAGATTGCAAGCGTTCTTGACTCTCCTAAGACTGTTTCCCTAGCTAAATACTACCTCTCCTCTCTTCCTCTTGCAATATTTTTTTTAAGGAGGCCTCAAACCTCTTTGCCTTTAGTTTCATCCTCAGTATTGAATTTAGTCTTAGTACTGGTGTTCTTTTCTTATCCTGAAATTTCTTCTCTTATGTCCAATTAGTGGAAGAAAAGGAAGGAAATAAATTATTTCCTCTTGCATCTTTGCACCTAATTGTTTTGATCTAAGAACCTTAAAGAACATGAAAATTAAATGCTTGCCATCCTCCTGACTTTTATGGCTCATATAAAAAAAGCTATGGATATTTTGCTGTGTTTGCCTTTGAAATACATTTGTATTTAGACACAAAATAGTTCTTAAAATAGATACAAAGACACAGCAATTTTCTAAAGATTACAGTGAAATATCCTCTAGAGTCCCAATCCCTGAAGATGAAAATATGCTTTCAGATACAAAAGGGGCTATCCCCCCTGCTCCATTACAATCTGGTAGCAGCGATTTCTGCAGGTTACCAATGCATTGTGAATGGGGGAAATAGCTCATTCTAACCACATGTTACACCCACATGTTTTAGGTGGGTCTTTTTCAGAGCCATTGCCATATATGTGATAGTCAATGAGCCCCTGTGCAGGGATCTCATTTCTTTTCAGCTGTTGCCTGACTCTGTGCTGAGTGGTATTATCTGTCAAAAACTAAAGTGTGAATCCTTTAGAAACTGCAAAGGTTTTAGAATCACAAACATCTGCCAATTCAGGCCTGAAAATCTTGAGCTGATGTTGTGTCTCTGGGGCATTAGAAAACATTTAACAGGCCCTGTTTGTAACCTCTGACTTCTGACTGAAAAGTGAGAGCCAGCTCTCACAAAGGACAGATTCTTCTGTCATCCATTTTGGAGAAAGAAATGACTCTCAGAGGGTGGAGGTACTTCAAATAGAGAACTCCTTATTGTTCCAAATACTCCCCCTTTAATCTGGAAGAAAAATCTCCTCATCCTGGTAACTTTGTATACAGTGTACTTATGGGCTAGTGACTAATGTTATAGAAATCATTGCTAATAGTTTTCTTTGTAAGAGCACAAAGGGCTCCAGACAGATTAAATATGGTAAACTATATATTTAGGAGCTAAACTTTTCAATCACTTTTAATTTGATGATTTTCCTCCTCTTCATAAAAAGGCAGATCAATATTGTTCTCTCAGCTGTAGGCAATTATGTAACATGTTTAAAACAATCACTTTTCATGCAATCAACGTGCGTGAGCATAGAAGTTAACCACGTCTACACTAGTTCTGACAAACTGTCAGGAATCAACTATTTATAAATAGTCTGGTATTATAGCATGCTTTTGCAAGTTTTTGAAGAAATTAGCTTACTACTTAGCAAATATTTTATAACTAAAAATCACTTTTTAAGACAGGGAAAAGTGTCTTTAATTTCAGAAGAAAACCATTCTAGTATTTTTCTCTTGGAATGTCTACATATGGAGATCTGTTGCCTTGTCTGGAAAAGTCAGTTCTCTGGAAAGGTCTCTTATCTGGTATGTGAAAGCCTTCATGGTATTTTATAGCAGCGATAAGGTAGGGAAGCTAATGTGGGTCAGACCTGTGAGATTATTCAACTCCATGATTCCTATCCTAGTCATGTTTGTAAAATAGCTCTTCACCCTGATAATCTCCAACTTGATAACTACATTAAGTGGAAAATGATTTTCCCAACCTGTGAATTTTCTGAGATTTCAAACATAGGTACATCTTGGGGCATAATGCAATCAAAACTTCTTTTAGATTTTTGTATTAAAAATTAGATCAACTGAGCTAAAATGAATCAAGAATAACTAGATAGCCAAAAGATTCAGCTGGAATGGGGAGATTCTGGGATCATGACCCCAGGCAGACTTAGGTGGAACTGGGAGCTGAACCGTTGTTCCCCATTCCCAGATGACTGCTCTGGCTCTGCACTGCGTTTGGCTATTTCAGAATGGGAGTGGGGGTGGGAGGGTGTTTATATCCTTTCCATAACCTCTGTCATGGGTCTGAGGAAACTTTTGCAGTTAAAGTTTTGTTGAAACGTGTATGTCCCACAAAGACATGGTTATTGGCAAATGCCATTGTGTCACAGAAAATAAAAATTGCCTAACCAGCTCTAGCCAACTGCTACTCAATAAATAGCATGACTTTCTGTTTATAGGACCATTGCAGTCCAGAGGTGCAAAGACCTTTTGGTCTGGAAAACGTCTCATGGTATCCAGAATGAGGATGATATGGGCTTCTGTTAAGAAACTCACCTATAGATTTTAATAGAGAACTTAGTTTTGGAAGTTCCTGAAGAATTTTTTTTCACTCGAACAGAATTCTGTGCGATCAAATTAAAATGGAATATTTTCACTTTTTTTTAGATATCTTAACATATTTATTGGTATCACCCTGATTAACTGTCTAAGATAAATCATAAATCTTGGAACAATGTTAGCCTGATGCAAATATAGATTAAATTTATTAGCATCATTTAACTTTTGCATCATTATGAGATAAGATTTTGCCTGCAAATATTAATAAGGTATTAATAAGAAGGGCATATATTTTCTTTTTTATCTTATTAATAGTTTACTAATAATGTCATTACATCTTATTAGTACCTCGTATTCGTATTATTTATATAAAAGCTACATAATAAGGAAGAATATTTTCTGCATTAATGTCCATTTAGTAGAAGTCTCTTGTTAATTTACTGTTACTTAGATTTTTGTTAGCTATTTTCATGATTCATACTTGATGCAGAGGAGTAATCTATTATTACAGATGAATAATAAAGTGTGGCAGTCCTTGGAAATGTAAATTGGACTTTGGAAAAAGAGGTCTTTAACAGTTCATTTTATTTGTGTTTCGTTAGCTTTCTACATAAGTTGTTTATTATTAATTTCAGATTTCATAGCTGAATTCGTTCAGTTAATGATGATGCCAGATGAACATCACTGTCAGATATGCAAAGCTTTTTTGGGGCTCAGAGAGCAATTGGAGCATGGAACGTACACAAGTGATGACTTTTCACCATAAGAATTTGTTTTCCGCTATGAAAGCTGGGCTTTTTTTTTCTTAGCTGTCTATATTCTATGCATTTACATTTGTATTTTAATTTTATACTAATAGTTATTTATAAAAATGTACTTAGTCCACAGGCTACAGCTCATGCACTTGAGGCAGTGTCATTTTAGAGGTTGTAATAAGCCGCAAAAAGGTTAGGAAGATTATTGCATACAAATGAAAAATACTGGAGACCTGCCAGTAAGCAGTTTTACTAACTAGGGATTAAAACTAGACCAGAACTGGAACTCAGCTTCCCAAACTTCTAGTACATGAATTTTTTATATGCTTTTAAACCTAAGGATTTATGTAGTATATCAGAGAGTTATCACTGTAAGATCCATTGCAAGGCCAAGACTTAAGGAACCCTTCTGAATAGGTGTGAGCCCAGAGTAGTCTGTGTGTTATTAGGCTGGAAAATAGTGAAACTATAGGGTCATATATATGACCAGTGGCACCAGTGAAGTATATTCATTTTCAGTGAAGTATATACATTTTTCAGCATGACAAGAATTCTATTTCTTTTTTACCATGGAGCATGCTAGTAAAACCATGTGATTTCAGTCACATTTCCTGGCGGAAAAAAATCCTGTTAAACTTGACTTTGCAAATACTAAGCTATGAAACAGTCTGGTGTTAATGACTGTATGTGGCTTGGGGGTACCCAGCTCTGCCTAGATTCAAAATATAATTTCCTAGCGCATGATGGGTAGGTATTTGTGTGATTTCTGTCTGCTCTGAAAGTGCCTGTGGACAAATATGATGTCAATTATTGCTGTGATTCAAGGTTTTGTACCCAGCTTATAGAAAAAATGTTTGCATTAGTCCAGTCAAGTTCTGTCCACACTTTAGGATGGATTGCTTTCCAAACTGTTTGTGATGGTGTTTAAAAGTGCTGTCTGCAGCACTCCAGTCTGCTGCTGTACATTATTCTTTCTATTTGATCACCTTAGAATAAACTTGAGGATGATATGCAATATGGGGAAGACTTCAACACCAATAAACGGCACAGCCGATCATTGATGGGCAGCTTCTCTAAACGGAAGGTAAGTCACTTGGTAGATTAGGTCCACATAAATGCTGGACTCTTGGATAGAACTTTCTGTTCACAGTGGTTGGGGAGGAATGTCATAGTTGCACTGTCTGACAGAGGCTTGCTATCAGACTGTTCACTGATTACATAGGCAAGCCAACTGGTTAATTATGCATAACAGCTCATTTCAGTTTACAGCAGAGTCTAACTTTATCCAAGATCTAGTCTAGAAACATTCAAAGTAATTTGCGTTTTCCATTTAAAATAACTTAGAGTTGCAATGTAACTAACTAGAATAACTAGAATATCCTAGTTTCTCTGCGTGACACAATACTAGCAGTAGCAGTGGCACTATAGAAAACACCTTTTATGTGAGGATCTGCAATTCCATTATAGAAAGGCTCTGACCTTAGGCTGAGTCTCCCCCACGGACATGCATATCATTCTACTAAACTGAAGGGTATTAAAAAAGTTGTCATTTCACATTTTCTGTAAGTAACATGCTACTTAGCATAACACAGCAGAATTGTTTCTAGCTGCTCAAATGTTGCTCAGATGGATGTGATATTAAAAACACGTTGGTAGTTGTGATGTTTCATACTCTGTGCAAAGCTTTTCAAGTAGGAATACCGATTTTTTTTAAGTGCCCTACTGGGACCTTTTAAAGGATTCTGCTTTTTTCAAAGCAGGGAACTGGATGCTTTCTCAAAATAGGGGAAATCTCAAAATAGAAACTCAAAATCAATAATGCCCTCAAAATGCTGAGAGTTTGCTGATATATATTTACAGACACGTTCAATTGTACCAGCAATATAGAAGCTGTGGACATCGTAAGAGCTACTTTATTTTACCACAAAGACTTCCCCAAATCTGTAACTCATGTTGCCTTTCTTACACCACAGAACTTATTTGATTCTTTTATTGAAAGCAGTTCTTCAGAACAAACCCAGAAAAATTTTTCCTCAATTTTTATTATAGACTATTTTAACTGCCTGAGTTTATTTTTATTTTTCTCCTCCACTGCTGCATAGTTTCTGCAGTAAAGAGCAACTCTCTCTAATCAATGAATATTGATGTCCGTTGTATATAATGGTTTTATTTCCTTATGGCACAGAAAAAAGGAAGCAAATTGAAAAAGACAGCAAGTCTGGAAGAGGGTGAAGATGATTTGGACTCTCAAGGAAATTTAGCCAGGGACTCTGTACATAACAGCAGGTTTGTAACACATGATTTGGCAATTTTGTGTCTAAAAAGATGCATACATGAATGTACCTAGTAAATAGATACCCTTCAGCTCTGCAAGCCAATTTGCTGAAGGGTGTCTGCAGGCATGTGAAAGGAATCCTCTGTAAGGCTAGGATACATTGGCACCTTCTTTGGGGAGATTGGTAGGTATGCTGTGAGTCACAACTTGAAGCAAGTGAGGAGATCCAGAGCATCCCTTTGTTGCTAATTCTTTGGGATTTAAGAAGTATTTCTGTTAGCACTTAATAAAATCCTATTAACTTGAGAAGTATAAACATGTATGAATAAATTGATATCCCACCCTTTGGTCTAAGCGGTTTAGAATCCTCCCCACCAGATCTGAGCAGGTCTTATGTCTGCCCACTAATGTGTAAGAAGAAGAGTTCCTTGTTCTGTGTACTTTCATGCTCTTGCCTCTAAAGCCTCTGTGCCTTGACAATGAGGCTCCATGTGGTATAAAACTATTAAATATCTCGCTGGTGGAAGAAAACCTTCTTTTATTCCTTTACTCTGATTTTTTTTTTTTAAATGTGGAAGAGAAAGTTTCTCCCTTAATTTATGGCAAAATAATTGTTTTGTTTTATCTTTCTAGGATAAGCCGACAGAAGAAAACAATGAAACTTTCCCGGGCGCTATCTGACCTGGTGAAATATACAAAGTCTGTTGGCATCCATGATGTTGAAACTGAAAGTAGGTTGAACTAAAAATCTACTAAAAATAATTGCTATGCACAGAAATTGAAAGGCTTATGTTCTCATAGCTATTTTTATAAAAGCTGTTTTTCTGTCTATTTGCCTCCTACCCTGCAAAGAATTTGACAGCAGAGATGCATACAGTAAAGCTATACTATTTCAAGGTGGCTGACCATTTGTTATTCAGAATCCACAAAGTGAGTTGTGTGACAGCTTCATTAAAGGAGATTAAATTTACTACAAGTAGTAGTAACACATGTTGTTTTGCTAGCTTGTGTAAAGTTTGCTACACATCACTTATATCCTTATCCTTCCCTTCTTATATCCTGGGAAATAGTAGGGGCCTTAGATATGCTCTTGAGCGGAATGGTCTGAAGAGCATTCACTATTTTTAGGTCCTTGTGTTTACAAATCAATAGAGATATTACCAAAAGCTGCATATTTCTTAAAGTTTAGATCTTTCTTCAGATCTGATGAAACACCAGCATTAAATTGCTAGCAGACTTCACTCCTTTTTCTATGTTTTCTGCATCTAATCTTGATGGGAATCAAGGATTCTAGAAAAAATGTCAGAAAGAGAGACTGGTCAGAAATTGTACTATCCTTGACCAGCTTTAAAAAAATCTTAAGAGAATTTTTTTCAATTTCCTAATGAAGATTCAGGTCGTTTATTGTACTCAGCTTCATTATCCCAGCCATTACTCCTCCAATAAACAGGATGATTTTGCTGTCATAGAAGAAAAGGATGATTCCCTCTGTAGTAGGATGTATTCCAATGACACTTGATAGTTAGGAGTAACTGGTGCTATGTTGTTAAATGTTTTATTTAAAAATAAATACATAAAAAAGGAGATGACTCCTGAACTCTTCCTTTCTTCTTTGTAGTCTCTTCCAGCTGGCAGGTTTCATCTTTCAGTGAAACAAAAGCCCACCAGATACTACAGCAAAAGCCAGCACAGTATCTGCATTTCAACCAACACCAGTTATCCCGCATCTACCCATCTTCTTACCGTGTAGACTCTAGCAACTACAATCCCCAGCCATTCTGGAATGCTGGCTGCCAGCTTGGTGAGCAGAAAGAAAACTTGTTTTGTTTGTTTTAATTCAGGAGAAATGTTTAAATAGAGGCTCCAGAATCGCCTGTTACAATACTTCCGAGTTCTCTGTTCATTCAGCTTTACTGACATCTGAGTCCTCCTTATTGTTTTCTATATTGTTACCTAGATAAGTTTTCTCAAACATGTCTTATGCATAAGCAAATATCTGATAAATGGAGATAAATGAGCTTCCTTCTTATCACATGCAAGAAGATTTCAGAGTTCAGAACTCTTCTGTAGAGCTTCTCTCCCTGAAGCTGCGATGTATGTGACATAAGAGAATTCTTTGTTCAACATATTTGAGTTTCTGTCTCCAAGAAGTAAAATTTAAAGATATATCTAGGTCTTCTTCCTTTTTCTGTGATGTACAAACAGGAATGTTGTTAAAATCCTCTGTTAGTGATATCACCTTTTTTTGAACAGTTGCATTAAACTACCAGTCAGAGGGGAGAATGCTGCAATTAAACCGGGCCAAGTTTAGTGCCAATGGAAATTGTGGCTATGTCCTCAAACCAAACTGCATGTGTCAAGGTAAGAAAAAGCAGCAAAAAAAGTTGCATTCATGCTCTTCTCATGGTTATTGCATGAGATCTAGACGTAGATCCCAAGTATAGTTTGTAGATAACTGGAATGCTGATTCTAGAAGCAAATAAGCTAGAAGATATCCACTGCCATCCCTAAAGTTGCACTTCTTTCACATTATAAGGCTTCTTATTCCTACAGGTGTCTTTAATCCGAATTCTGAAGACCCACTGCCTGGTCACTTGAAGAAACAGCTAGTTCTAAGAATTATCAGTGGTCAGCAACTCCCAAAACCACGGGACTCCATGCTGGGAGACAAAGGAGAGGTATGAGACAATTGATGTTTGTTTATTTCCAAATTGACTGGGGTAAGGATGAGTGTTTAACTTAGTGCAGTTATCGTACAGCATGAATAAATTAGGCAGGTTATTAGCATCCTAGATCTTTAGGTGGTTTTCATCTCTTCCGAGCACCACAGCAGTAGTTTGATTTTTCTCTGATTGTCAATACGGTGCCTGCAGGACAAGCAAAAAAGGCCAAGAAGCTGTCGTCATGATGGGGTTCTAGTCACAACAGCACTCTTAAACCCTCACCCTGCACCCCCAGCATATAGAGCCGAATTAGTGTCTCTCTTAAATTCTCTTAGAAAACTGCTGAGCTTGTCAGGCAAGACCAGTGGAGTTACTTGGGAGTCTCTTTCTCTGCTTGGGTGAATCTGTTCCATTCAACACAGTATTACTACTAGTTTTCTTTCTCTCCTTCATTTTGGCTTCTGTTGCGTGATTTGCTGTGATACCTCATTTTGTTTAGTAAAACCCTCGGCAACTTCACTCAGGGGAGCATCAGACTAAAATGAGCCAAGTCTGCACCCCCTTGGCAGCTTCTGTAAGAGATTTTGTTTATTTCTTATGCTGTCTATTGGTGTTCTAACAACACCTGTGTGACTTTATTTCACATTAGACTTAATGTTAGGATCTGTCACAATTAAAATTTTCTTTTAGCCTTTTGCCTGTTAGAACCAAAATCATACCTCTCAAATGAGTTTTAGATGCTTTGATTTTGTATGAATGTTGCAATTATCTTCTAAATACCCTTTCTCTACAGAAATGTTTGGACCACTATGTCAGACTGTAAATTTCCCTAGAAGATAAATGTAGGAGGGTTATACTAAGGCTATAGTGGGCCTTTTTGTGTTTTCAATCATTTATTTGCATTTTCATTTCTTTCTGTCTTTCTTTCTTTCCTTCTTTCTTTCTTTCTTTCCTTCTTTCTTTCTATTAATACCACATGTGTAACAATCAGGAATATGTCATAATTCAAATTAAGACCATGTTTCAGAAGATGAAGAATAATCTGTGTGGTACTTCCAGTTTACTCTGGTTAGTAGGATAGATTAGCTCATGCAGAACATAATCCTGGAAGAAAACTTCCTGAGAACGTGAATCTAGATCCCCACAACAGAAGTACCTGCAAAACATACAAACTTACTCCCCAAGTCGGGAGCCAACAATATTTAGGAAATTTAATAACCTTAAGATAAAATACCCAAATAATGGGCTTCTTAGGAAGCAATCTGTACCTAGATACCAAACTTGTGGTTAGTTAGCACTTGCTGAGCTTCTCAAAATCAGAAGAAAGGGGGCCCTCCCCCCACCCTAATTTGATAGCTGTCAGTGTTTGAGCTAAGTCAGGTATTTACACTGCATAAGCCAGCGGAGACTCAGAAATAACAGCCCTGTTGAAAGCTACAGACACTGACTTCTCTCAGAAAGTTAGGTGCTGTTTAAAATTCCATGTTCATTTTATTTGTATTTCACTTGCACACAGTTGTACCAGATGAAAATCAGACCTTTATTGTGCTGACCACTATGTTATGAAAAAAGCATTCCAAGTCCTAAGACTTTTGTAGAATAGAGCTATGTGAACAATATAAAGTGTTTGATAAATACATTATGCAGTCTTTCCTATTGAGAATTCAGGTGTCCCTCAGAAATAAGATAAAAGATACTTTGCACTTTAGGGGCAAAGTATTCTATGGGCTCATGGCCACAAGGAACACTTGTTTCTGCTAAGCATCAAAATGATTCTTCTTTCCTCATGAGACCACATTGCCTGTTTACATTCTTGGTATTTGAAAACAGTAACAAACTTTCCAGAGATCTAATAGATGATGAGAGGTACTCTTTATCCTCAGTGTTACTGACAGGGAGATGGATGGTGGATTTCAGTATCAGGATGCCATTTCAAATGACATGTTTGAATGGGTCTAGCATAGATTTTTTTATGATTTGCATCACGTAGTTTGTATCCTAGGTTGGAACACAGATTAATCTCTTAAAGCTATCTGACTTTTCCAACTCTTTGTAAATAGGGATAAGAGGTATCACTGCGAGAGTCAACTCTGTGAAAACTTAAGGTCATCTTTTCTGAGAACCCAAGAATTATTTATAAACTAATAAAAAAGGTAGAGGTGTGGGCCAACTAGAGGAATATCTGTATCTGACTGGCCAGTAGAAGATAAAAACTTTGTGCAAGAATGGTCTTTCTCTATGATCCCCAGACTGTCCATCCCGCTTGCCTTCAAGGAACTTGTAATTCAGTTGAGATTACCATTTAATTACAAGAGGTCTCAACAGAGTCAAAAGTTTTCTAGTCTTAGGTAATTACAGGAACCTTCTACAAGGCCAAAATATGCTGTAGTTTTGCAGTCTTACATTCTAAGCAGGCTATGAGTAAGAGGTGAAATGAAAGCTAGAAATAGAAGGTGTTTGAGGTTTAGGGGCAGAGGTAGAACTCAGACCTCCTGTGCCTTGATTATTGCCTTGTCCGTTGTGCCACGATGGTTTAATAGACACTGAGACTTTTAACAGATGATTCTTAATGGGTTTGTTTTCATTTTACTGCTTTAGAACATATTTGTCATAATGACTGTTGTGAATGTATTTTTAAACCTTTTACTCAAATATCCACTGAAATAGAAAATATTCATATAAAGACTAGTGTTTAGATTTCCTTTTAGAATAACATAGAATAGAACAGAGAAATGATCACAAGTCTGCACAACATGATCGTTCTAAATTATGCCTTTACAATGATTTGGCCATAGGTGTCTGATGAGCATAATGATCATTTGCAGAAAGGCTTATAATGAAAAATTATTGGTGAAACAGTGTACAATGTTCACGTTGTAAAGGTTAGCATTGTGTTTCAATTTTGTCATTGTCACTCTTTCTTTTCAATATTTATTACTTTCTCTTTTCCAGATCATAGATCCATTTGTAGAAGTAGAAGTTATAGGCTTACCTGTTGATTGCTTCAAAGAACAAACTAGAGTAGTTGATGATAATGGTAAGATCATGGGTTTTTTTGCTTTTATATGGCTATCTGAAACATCCTCATTCAGGAAAGTTTTTAAGGAATCATTTTACAAGTTTTGTTCTTAAAGAGAAATAGATGAAATTTGGTGCCTGCAAAACACTGAAAAATCCATTTAAGGATTCTTGATGTTAAATCAGACTTGGGTCTTGAATTGCCCAAGTGAGTTGCTACAGTGTTGTGAAGGTCATAGTATAAAATGAGCCATTTTTTGACTCCTATTTCTTTGTATAGAAGGATATTCAGAGCTATCAGTGGTAAAAAGAAGTGACTAGAAGCCACCAACTTCTTAAGTCTACCCGTACGTTTCAGGGAGTGTAGAAATATTAATGAGGAAATTAAAATCATAGGATAATCTAGATTAGAGAAGACTTCTGGAGGTCAGCTTGTCCAACCACCTCTTGAAAGCAAGAGCCAACTTTAAGTAAAATCCATATCTTTTGCAAATTCTTGTACTCTTGTGGCTCCAGCTGAAATGAGTAGGAGTACTGGATTTTTAAAAAAACAAAGATCAAACTATTAGAAAAACTGGAATAACCATTGCAGTTTAGGCATGCCTTATATAGGCTGTCTTCTTGCTTCATGTGTTTCATGAACAAAATATCTAAAAGGAAACAAAATATCAAAAATATGTAAATATCTTTCATTCCCAGGTTTTAACCCAATGTGGGAGGAGACACTGGTGTTCACAGTGCACATGCCAGAGATTGCACTGATTCGATTCCTTGTGTGGGATCATGATCCAATCGGGCGTGATTTTATTGGACAGAGAACAATAGCTTTTAGCAGTATAATGCCAGGTAAGGCAGAAATTGTGAAATACTGAATGACTTGGCTAGGACTTCTTCCTGTGGTGAATGAAACTGCAAAAGGCTGTATTACTGTGTGTACATATGTCTGCAGCAGAAAGTTCTCACAAGAGGCTAGGAGTTTGAACTCCTGAGTTCTCTACCCAGGTCCGCTGCTGACTTACCATATGACAAAAACTAATTCAACTAACTGTGTGGGACTAGATTTTCGAAAAGATGCATAAAATTGTAAAGCAGGATTGCTAAATATAGTAGACTTGAAAGACTACCGTACATAGTCTTTCTCTGTGTTATTTCATACAGCTTTTTTCTGCTTTATCTTCCCACTGGTTTTTGAAAGATGCTAGTCTTGACTGGTGATGTTACTATCAGTAATAGTTTAACATAAGGCAGGCATTTACCTATTCTAAAGGTGGGATGCAGGTTTTTAGACTATTTTCTGTCTATTTCCTGTTTTTCTTTTCAGCCCAGTCTCATTAAACCTCATGTATATATTTTTCTTTCAAAGCAAAGGGAATGAAAAGTATTTTGTGGTTTGTTAGTTAAGACTGAAAGCAAATACCCAATCTTAATAAAATAAACTTGGTGGAAACGTCTGCAGCATTAGTAATGGACTGTGAATCTCCAAGAGAGAACATAGTCAAGTTTAAGTCAAACATTGACAGCCACAGTAATGGACACTAGGAACAATAGGACATAGCTTTTTTGTAATGTAAAAGGAACAAGAAGAAATATCAGTTAAATTTGTAAGTGCTGTGGCTCTTAGATAAATTGAGTGTAGGTAGATAAAGCACAAATCTGGATGCTTAGTATGGGGAGGAGTTAGTTGGGAGAAAGCTTGCTAATTTCCTTTGCTGTTTACAAAAGGGAAGTCCCTAAATGCTCTGTCATCTGTTTCTCCTTGACAGCTTTGCTTACTTTGTGTTTCAGGCTACCGACATGTGTACCTGGAAGGTATGGAAGAGGCATCCATCTTTGTTCATGTGGCTATTAATGACATCTGTGGTAAGGTGAGTGCCTTCAGTGTAGAGTAATGAATTTTGCATGTGTAAATGCTCTGACAGGATTTTGTATTCACACTGGGGAAGCCCAGCAGGTAAAGGCCTAAGCTAGCCTATTTGTCAAACTAGAATAAACTGCACTGCTGAAATTGTCATAGTAGCCTGATATCTTTCTAAACACACAAGGATGCAAAGGTAGATCAGAAGGAATATTATAAAAAGAGATTCTTGCTGCACCCTTTTTGAGGGAGGCATAGGGGAAGGTTATTTCATTGCAGCATACACGCATAGATATAATGAGTTTGCTTGTGTCTGGTACATTAAGTGCATGTTACTGAACAAATGCTTATACACCTGAGCCACTAAGTGCTTTCTGCTTGCAAAGCTTATTCTCTGAAGGCCCTGTCTGCCTGAGACTTTTAAAATTAAAAGAAATTCGTAGGGGTTATTTGCTAAGGGGCTTTTCCATAATAACACTTAAAAGAGCAGGAGAAAGATGATCCCTGTCATCGTTGTTGGGGCTTATTTTTCACTGTTTATCTGCTAAGAGTGTTTTGCTTGTTTCACATGCAGGAAAAATATAACTGTCTGGATGCCATGTCTGAATTCACATAACTCCTAAACTGAAAGTAAAGCTCCAGCTTCAAACTTATCCTAGGGCCAGCTGAAAATAAGGCAGCTTCTTACTTCCAGTGCACTAGATTTAGTTACTTCTGTGGTATTAATTACAATGATAATCAGGTGGCTAAGTCCCTTCAGAACCTGAGAATGGCAGACTGAGCTTTCTGTAGTAGCAAGCTGTAATATCAGCATCCTGACAGCAAGAGGCGGCATTGAATAGTCTGGGAATTCTAATTTCATTTTTTTTGTGTTGCTCATATTAGGAGAATTAAAAAAATAAAAATAAAAAGGAAAGCAGCTTTTTAAACTGCTAGATTTTAATCAAAGCATTTATGGGATGGAACTGAGATAACTCCTAGGAAAGTTGCATTGTGTTGCATAAGTGTCTTCACTTATAGGAAGATGGACTGTTTATGGAAAGAATGTTGTGTTAGACGTTTCAGTTAAAGCCTGTAAAAGGAATGAGAAGTCAAGCTGAGTTCCTACCTTTTTGTCTGATGTCTAACCTGAAAGCCTTTGGGCAGGTAGAGCTTATTCATCACAGGACTGTAAGTCTTGTCTGAAACCCCTTGTGATGGCATTATGAATCTCTCTGAATTTAGCTCTAAAGAGAAAAAGACTTCTAAAGCTTTGGGTGAAAGAGAGTTGATTGATGTTGGTCTGAGTAAGACAGAAAGCAGATGAGTGGTGTTTAATTTCTGACTGTAGGGCCTGTCGCAGATAAATGGCTAAAACTCAGGTCATGATAAAAGGCCAGCTAATTCTAGTCTTCAGGGAAAAGTGATAGCAGGCTGAGCATTTCAATGATAAGATCCTTTCTGGCCATGTTTCTGGGTTCAAGAAGACTATACAGGGCGTAAGTCATACTGGATTTGGCCCTGGGTAGGGATGAAGTTGTATTAGTGACCTTAGAGACCCTTGCTGGATGCATGCACTGGCACTGATTCAAACAGCTTTGAATTTTGTCTTGAACTTTCTTGGAATTCCTGTGTTCAGGTCTATTGCCTCTTTCTTGCATAGTCTTGTCAAACTCTCTAGGCTTGTAACAAGAATGACAGATAGCTCAGTCCTGGGCATGGTGCCAGTGAGAACGGAATTGGTCTGATTAGTGACTGTGCCCCCACCGTGTCCTTTAATGAAAACAGGTATCTATTTTCTGTATGAATCCAGCAGAGATGATGTTTGGCCTGACCACCCAACTGACCCTTTTTGTGAGTTCTTCTTTTATATTCTGTTCCTAGTCAAAATGATGAAAAATAGGCAGATTCTCCTCCTCTTGCCACTGCCAAGTGGATCCATGCTGCTTTCATTGTATACTACTTTCAGGTGATGCTCTCTGTGCTGCTCTTTTGGTGCTGTTGTAAGGACAGCAAATATTTCACTATCCATCATTGGAAGTTACAGTTTGTAGCTTAGTATCCACTGGAAAATAGGATTTTAGGTAAAGACAGGGTCTGCCTGTTTTAGTTACTGATAGGTTAAGTTCATCAGCTTCCAAGTCACTGTTCTCGGTTGCAGTGATTCAAGAAAGAAAGGATGTTCATAATCTTTGTGAATGCTTTCACTGAAGAATTTTTGCCTCAACTCTTCCTTGTTATTTTTGGTTCCTGGAAACAGTTTCTTACTTTCAGATAAAATAGATTAATTTGAAGGTATTATCTCTCCATTAATCCTTCTTTTACCTAGCTTTTCATAATTGTTTGCTCTTATTGGCTTCTTCATGAGTAACTTGCTGGTAATAGTTATAATTTGCAGTAGAATCACATGCACATTTCAACTTTGTCAGCAGTGTTGGGGTTATTAGATTTACTTAGTATGCTTTTTAACCGAAGCTTTATGCACACTGAAAGACCCTTGCTGTATCATGCTGTCTCCTCCCTGTCCTTATCTACTAGTTTCCAGTCTACAGTACTGATCTGGATTCTGAGCACACATCCCTTGTTACTTCTCACTATCATTGCAGTCTCTTGGTCTTCCCTGATGTTAAGATGGTGGTGCTGTGCATTAACCTCATTAAAGCACAAGGATTTGGAAGGGAAGTTTATACATGGGTTTATTTTAATAATTATTAATAAGCCCAGGGACAGTCCTACCTCAGAACACTATAAAAAGCATGAGACGAAATATTACACAATGCTTTTTCTTCTGGTCTCTCTGGATCACATTCTGTTATTCTTGATCAGGAGTTCCTTTTGTGCATGTAGATTTATAAAATCAGTGAAGGCTGCAGGTGAAATACTTTGATACCCAGCAAGGACAAGAAAGGCAGAATATGAATCACAGCGCCTAGTTGATCTTAAAGAACAGAGTGAACAGGACAACTTTAGTCTTATTACGAGCTCCTAGACTTCTTGGTTACTGGCTTCTCTCAGCCAAATTGTTGTCTGCTTCTATTATCAGTGGCAGCTGGAGTGTCACATATTTCAGACTTTTGTCAATCATGCTGCATTTTGTTTGCTAGGACTGAAGAACTGGAACTAGCATCTGAATAAGGTTGTAAGATTCAGGAGGTAGCTTGCACTGATTCAATTTCATTGACTACACTGACATCATCTGTTTTCCTCTGCTAACTTATTCATCTGTCCCATTGATTCATGGGCATTATACGGTTTTGCACCAGTTAATGGTTGAACCTTTACACTGAAAAAATACTGACTCCATTTTTCAGAAATTGTTTTATCTGTCTGTAAGCGCAGGAAGAATTTTGTCAGCATTTGCATTTGCTGGGGCACTGGGGAATACGTAACATATCTGTCTGTTAGAAAATGTCTTCCTATCTCCAGGCTAGAGCAGAGTTGAAGGCTGTTTCTGAAAACCAAGCCCAATGTTGCTTTTAAGTAGGAATTACTGGAAGAGTTGTCACTTAGGAAAAATTTTCAGCTGTAATTAGAATATTCTTGGACAAAAATTTTAGCATTTTTTTCCCTTTTCCAATTAGCTGTAAAATATTTCAGTGTTTTGTTTAGAAATCTGTGTAAGTATCTTCAGATTTGCCTGTTGTCACTTTGTGTGGCCTTGTGCTGTCTCTTTTTTCCCATAATAAAGAAAAATCTAAAAGCCAATTTTTATTCAATAGAGATCTGTTAAAACTAGAATTATTTCTCTGTTTCCTGCTCTTAATCCTGGGCAGAAAAGCAAACACAGATATCAGTCTGGTTTTACCCAGCCTTTATTAATCCAAATATTCTAATGCAGGCATTAACGTTTTAGGGCCTTTTTCTAAATGCAGATATTCTGCCCTCTCCAGTAACTTGAAATTGCAAAATCAGAATCTAGGATTATTTTCACCTTCACTTCTATTTAGTTGAAATCTCTTTTTGTAGATTATATTGTTTCCTGGAGACACTCTTAATTTCTCTCTCTTCTGCAGTCCATTCATGTATTGTGGAATTTCTCATGTTTTTCTAGATGTGTGTATCTCTGAGATCCTCCTCACTATTGTGTGTCTTACTTGCCTTTTTACTCTGTCTGTTTGTGATTTCAGTGGACTTCTCTGTGTCAAAAAATCTACTTTAGAAGCAGAGCATTTTTAGACGCCTTGAAGGTACCCTCTCCTGTCACAGGGAGGCATAGTGACCACCATGCAGCTGCATGCCTCTAACTAGTTACTTCATTAGCATCAGTGTCTCCTTACTAGCATTTTGAAACGCTTCAGCTCATATAACATGGACTGTGACATTTGACTTGTCAGTTCTGTTGGGTCTTCAGTCAGCCAGAGAGCCCTCCATTTATGAAGCAGATCCAGGATAAAAGTCCTTTGATACCTTCCCTTTCTTTCTTGAGTCTCTTACTGTCTTTTCTCTGCTGTGCTATAATTCAAAACACTTCCTCCACCTGGAAAAGAACATTTAACAGTGAATTGTTTGCTAAGTTGTGGGAAAGCCTCTTGTGCTGATTTTTAAGTCTTTGAAGTCTTTGAATTTGGAAGATTGAAGGATGAAGTAGCCCTTATGGTTTGTAAAAGCTGGAGTAGAGGCTGAAAGCAGACATTCTGGATCTCCTTCAAACCAGCTCTCTTTTTAAACCTTTTTTATAAGGTTAACCAAATTTGTAGTTGATTTGGGTTCTTGAATCAGTCCATTGATTCAAGCAATAATGGCTAGCTTAGCAAAGGTGCACCAAATAAGCTAGAATGATACCTGGGACCCTTCACTGCTCATCCTCCATTCCATCAGTGGTTTTTCTTTCATTTTTGTTAGGTATTATATGTGTGTGTATGTGCGTATGAGAGAGAGAGAAATTGTTTTTTCGTGTTTTGCAATTATTATATTGCATGATTTTATATTAATAAAGCTGTGTACTTGCCAACTTGTCTCAATTGGACCAGGATGTTTTTTTCCTTCACTCCTTAACAAATGCATAATCTGATTCTGAAACTTTCTACTGCAAGTGAATCCAGAATGATCCAAGCAGATTATTCAATAGCCTGCCTCTCACCGATATTTTATTAATATTTAACCTACATTTTCTCTGCTTTGCATTATTTGCACTATTTCGTCAACTAATAGGAAAAATTAATCCTTGCCCTCTTTATCGTACCCTGTACCTATTTTTAAAGGCTATTTTAGTTCTCTTTTTAGTCATCTCTTGCTCACATTGGATCATGGCATGTGGAAAACTAAGCTTCAGTCAATTAGAGCCTGAAATAATATTCTGAATGCTGTCTTTGAGCTTTGTATCAGACCACTAAGCTCTCGTTCCATATACCAGATTGCTCAGGATACTTCTGAATAAAAACGGCTTTCAATCTGGGCTCGCTGCACAGTGCAGCTAATTTCTATCCGTTAAGTCCTACAAAGCAAAAAATGAAATGCATGAGCATGTGGTCAAACATTTTGGAGTGAAAGATAAACCACTGTAATTTAAATGAGACATTTCTTTGCCGTTATTTGGGACTGCAGAAATGTGACCTCACACATGACATCACAGGGTAAAGGAATTGAACTGACAGCAGGATGCCAACATGCACTGATGTTGATCAAATTTATCATGAATTTCTTGCAATGTATTTCAATCATAGGGTTGTGCGCTTTGGAGAGTGTTTTCATTAATTTGTTATGCTCAAGATAGGGAAGAGAACTACAGCTACTGAAGAAAGTCTGATCTAATTGGGACATAAAGGGAACAAAGGAGAAGCAGATCAAAAGGAAAACACCTGTTTCTCTGCTTTATGTGACATATAAAAATGAGTCTCTATGCTTAGAGTAAAATGAGCCTACTCTTTCTTATGCATCAACTTATTGCTTTAAAAGTTGGCGAATACACCTTGAATGTTTACAGGAATGCTGAAATTCAGTTTCACTGAAATGTTAAACAACTGTATGATGGTGGGAAATTCCTGACAGTAATTCTGTGTATTTAATACTTCAGTAAGTATATACTTCAGTACATAAAGTACTATATTATCATCCTGACTAACTTTGCTTGTTTATAATATGTTTCTTCGGTAGATAAGTTTTGGAAATGATCAAATATAGGAAATGATCAAAATGTAATCACACAGGTAGAAAGAGAAATGTTTAGAGATAATTTCTCATGTATATAATTAAACTGCTATTCATGATAGTGTTCATTCAATTGAAGTGCTGATCACCTGTATATTAAAAACAAAATATGGTACTTTTATGTCCACTATGTAGTCCCCAGCAGTTCCTAAAGAATGTAAAGCTCCATTTGAACATCACATTTATTATCTATATTGTTTAAGTCAAAAATATTCTTTATTTTAAAAGGCAACTGTCATTTAAAATTCATGTTGCATGACAGGTAAAATAAAAATAATTTTAAAATACCTTTTCTAAATTGCCTCCATTTCTATAGCTTGGGGTGTTTGTGGGGTGGGGAGAGGGGACAGATGGTTTCAGTTTCTTCCCCTCATTTACCCTTAGCATTCTTTTTTGTTCTACAGCTGGGCTCTTTGGTGTATGCTACAAATTTCTTGTGCAGAGTGTGAATGCTAGTCACTATCTCCAGTTTAAGAGACAGGAAAATTTAGATTCAGTGGTATCTGATGCCCAGCTCTGCACAAATATAACTTCCCGTACAAGCCAGAGAATTCAGCTTTATGTTCCTAATTTAATTTAATGTTTCAGCAATTCTGATTGGCCTAATTCTAATGTGTCTGAGTCTCCAAAATTGCAGGTGATGTATTTTGTTGAAAACATGTCTAAATTTATTTTTAAACGACTGTATTTTCCAGTCAGACTTAACCTAGACAAGACCCCAAAGCTAGTAATGACCATTTAAGATAATATTGGGTTGCAGTATTTGTAGTGTTATTTGTATTCTGGTGTGATTTAAAGGCATAAGCCTCGTTCAGGATTTCCTGGTAGAGTGCAATTTGCTAGAATCCAAGTTCACAATGCAGTAACTAGGTTGCACCATTTCCTCTGTGGCTGTTTTTAGGGATCATTTACACCACACACTTTAAGTGTGAGTGCTTTAAGTGCCTAAATTAGAAAGTTCTTCTCTGTATTCTACCTATGTAGTCGAGGGCAATCCCTTCAGATCTGTTTTAACTATTCCAAATTGCCTTCTGGAGAAGTATCGTTATTCTAGCTGGGTACTTCCAGAGTCCAGGAGACTTGCCTCTTAACGGGGTTTCAGGGGCTGGTTTACATTATGTGCAATGATTACATAAATGCTTACTTTCTAGAGATTTGCTTCTGTAGTAGATTTATGTTCATTTCCAAGTAGCTTATGTTCTTTAAAGAAAAGACTTAAGTTTTCAACAAATCTGTAAGTCTCCACTTATTTTTGTATTCTAGTAGTAAGTTAATTTCCTGTGCTTCCTTGGGGTTCTGCTATGTATCCATAGGAAGAAACTGTTGAGGCAAGATTGTGTCGGAAAACTGACCCATACCTCACAGGGCTTTGTGTTTCAGACTCTTTGTGAGTCTGAAATCTGTGACATTATGAATATCCCAAGCTTTGTTGCTTTTAGCACACATTGAGAAACTCTTCACCTCTCAGAATTAGATCCTTACAGACGGGAATATTTTCCTTTTTATTTTTTCAATATCTGATGCTTGTGTTTTCCTTATATTTTCCTTTTTATTTTTTCAATATCTGATGCTTGTGTTTTCCTTGTAAGTAGCTGTGTGCTAGGAGGAAAAGGATGACAAATACAGGGTAAGCCTGGGGAAAAATTTAATCTAAAAACATAGTTCAGCAAAAATCAGATGTGAAATTTTGCAAAACTTGTTGCTGATTTGTTTTTTCCTTTTTTTAATTTCCATTCTATTTTGGTTTAGTTCTCATGCTCATGGTAGGCATATGGCAGGAGACCCTGTGTGCATGTGTGTGTGTGTGCGTTGTGTATGTTAGTACCCAAAGGAAGAGGCTTGCATTTTCTATTAAGGATTTTTTTTTTTAAATTATTTTCTAGGCCAAACAAACGTTGGGTCTAAAAGGCCTGTTTCTCAGAAATCCAAAACAGGCATCTCTGGACAGTCATGCTGCTGGTCAGCTCCATCGCAAACATTCCTTTAGTGGCCACATCTTGAGACGCACAGCGAGTGCACCCACCAAAAGCCAGAAGAAGAACAAGAAGGGGTTTCCAGAAATTGCTTTTGACACCAAAGATAACAGCTCTGAAGGGGCCAGTGAAGACCATGAAGTGGAAGACACCTCACAGCCTCGCTTTGAGCAAATGCCAGAAAGTGCTTCTCTGTCACCAGCTCCCAGAGATGGTGCCAATGGGGAGGTACATGGCAAAGGGTTGAAAGGTAAGGCCCATTGTTCTGGCAAAGGTAAAAGCCAAAAATGTGTTCAAGGGGGTGCTGCTTTCAGTGAACCCATACGGAGGTCCAACAGGGTCCGTCTTCAGGAGAACCAGAGTGAGAAGCAGAGTATCTTTGCACGCTGCACCATCAATGGCTCTGGTAGGATTGGAGTGGCTACCAATTGCATGAAATGCATGATTGGTTCTAAAGAAAGCCCAGATCTAGAATCCAAGTGGAGTGACCATCCTACCAGGCCTATTGCTAAAGATATGCTTCACCATGATCAGTATAGCAGTATAACTGGAGAAGAGAGGTTAGAACTAAAAAACTGGGGTATTAAAGATCAGCCAAGGCTGCAATCAGATTTGCAGTCTTGCAGCAGCTCTGGAACTGCTGGTGACCTAATAAGGGGCACCCAGTCTTTGGTGACTTCAGGGAAGAAAATTGCTGAATCTAAATGTAATGGAATGAAGGCTCATTCCCGGCAGCGGTGGCAGTGCCAATCAAGTGGCAAGTATGGAAGCACTGTGAACTTGGTTGCAGCCAGCAGTGGCTCCATATCCTCCAATTCCAGCAGTCTAGAAAGCCTTGGAAGCCCGGAATTCCCCAAGTGCTGGTCTGAAACTTCTCGAAGGCAAGTGGGCACCCTACAGCGGGAAATGAATGCCTTGTTCATTCAAAAATTGGAGGAAATTCGAAGTAAATCCCCTATATTCTTTACTGGTAAGAACAGACTTTCTTCACCCTTCTCCACCTTAGGTTGCATCATTGCCTCACCTTCCACGTGTCATCTCTCCTTAGAAGCTTCTTTGTGTTGTTTTGGTATAAAGAGCTCTTTTTTTTTCCTGTCAATGACAGAAAAACATTTGTGCATAAGCATATTTTTTTCTAGATCTGTCTAGTTTAGATGAGTCCTTTCTGTGCCTAACCAACCATCTTCAGTAGTAAAACTGTCAATAGTCTATGAATGTTTGGATTGTTTTGTGAAGGTTTTTTGTTTCCTTGTTTTTTTAGTGAATATGGAATGATGCTAAGTGCATTTTAAGAGTCAAACCAGAGCATTAAGTAGAGATTGAATATGGGAAAACCATATTAACAAACAACATTATTTAGCAGTATTTGTGTTTCACTGAAATATAACCACAACAGAACTGAAATTGAGTGTGCGCTCTGCTAACAGTCAAAGCATTCCCTTCATCAGAGAACTTGCCATTTAGTGCTTAAGTTACTGGCATCAGTTCAGGAATTACTGGATGGAATTCTCTGATCTGGCTTATTCAAGAGATCACACTTTATGAACATAGAAGACCATTTTGGCCTTAAATACATAAATCCCCAGTCATGCAATGTGATTTGACTGTGACCTGGGGGCACAGTTACATAAGGTACATAATCTAAGGTACGCGATCTAATGTTACTTGACATCAGCCAGGCTATGCACACTGTTAGCATTTCCCAGTTGCAAAGTGTGTCCATTTAAAGGAAGGCTGCTTAAACTAAAACATTCTATCTTACAGTTGTTTTGAGCTAGGAGTATGCATGTGGTCACCTGAATCATGTGATTGTATCTTTATTCATGAACTATATGCTCGCAAATATGGAAAACAGGAACTTCTTATAGCTAGTTCCCTTTATAATATTTGAAACTTAATGTTGGGCTAAGGACAGGGGATATCAAAGTATGTATTCTACTAAGGAACCTAGCTAATTTAATACCTATTTTGGGGGGCAGGAGGGATGTTGCGTTTAACTACGTTTTCTCTGTTTTGTAGAGCAGTGAAGAGGGAATAAAGAAATACAGCTTTTGTCTATGACTGTAAGAACTTCCCTTCAAATTCTCCCTCCCTTTAGTTTGGACATTGATGGTTACATTTTCAGAAACACTCAAGTCACTTCGGTGCTTCTGAAGATGTAATCCCTTTTTTTAGTGGTAGATTCTGACTGCCCACATACAGAAATTTAAAATATTCTACATATTTAATCAATTTGATCTGATTGGGTGTCTGCAATTCCTCTTTATTTCATTTTTAAAATCTCTTTTTTTAACAGCCTTTCCTCAATATCTGCTTTGAGCTTTCAGGAAAACACCAGGGCAAGGGGAAGAGGAGGAAGAATTTTGCCAATTCCCATGACTTGAAATTAAACCAAAACAGTAGAACCCTTCCTGCGCCTAGATTGTTGGCATTAGGCTTTTCATAAGCTCTGAGTAATGTGACATATGGAGCCATTTCCCATTATTAGTGCCAGCTCCCCTGCCAGCCCTCTAAGTCACTAAATAAATATTGTGATATGCTTGAAATTTGATTAAATCCATCTGACTTCTCAAGCATGGAATCAGCAAACCTTAAAAACAGTGAAACAATCATTTGGACTGGATGCTGATGATGCCAGTGACAAACACTATAGTCGTACAAACAGCATGCTTTCCCCATCCAACTGCTATTTTAGTGCCTTAGGCCAAGACACCAAGGAAACCAATAACATTAGCCTAATATGGATGCATTTCATAATTAACATTCCATTGAAAGAAAGTGCCAGAATGATGAGACAGGAAACTATAGCCTCTAGTTTGTCCCCTTTATGGCAACAGCATTACAGTTTCCAGTATTTTGCCTTGTAAGTGTGCCTTAGTCTACACTGATGACCTAGTCTGGATGGGGACAAGGAGAGTTCATTAGTCCGATCAGCTCTGGACTCCTCCAGATACTCATACAGGTATTGAAAACACTGCTCTTGTGTGAATGGAGGACTTTGCTTATGTGCACAAATGTCTTCAACAATCAAGACGCTTTCTTCCCTTTTAACACTCCAACAAATGGAATATAGGCCACTAAATAGCGGTCTCCGTTTTTAGGCTTTCTGTCAGTAGGCTGGATTGGAGGTGGTGAAAGGCAAGGCCGAATATGCTTTCAGCGTATTTTTGTAAAGTAGATGAATGTCCCTGGTATTAGAAAAGAATGTGGAGAAGAGGAGGGTAGCTTCCTTTCCCCAGTCCGGTGGAGGGTACTGCTTCTTTACTATTACAGCTCTGGGGTTATGCAAGCAGGTAGTCAACCCAGGAAAACAAGCAAAAAAGAAAATGTATGAATCTGTAATTCTGAAGCAGTACAGTCTGTGGAAGGTTTGTCATTAATTTCAGTGGAGGAATAATTTCACCTGAGAGAAAAGGAGCTAAAAAAGTAGTAGTGAAGCCATTTTGGATACTTAATCCTTTTAGTAGTCAGTAAGACTGATTTTGATTTTGCCCATCTGGGTAGAGCGTTTACTTTCATGCAGTAAGTCACCAGGCTGGTCTTCCTATGGTTACTAGTCCTCTAGGTGAATATGGACTATCAGTTCCTATAATAAGCATCTCTTCAAGGAAAGCAGATATATTTATGCCTGGTATGACTTATGAATGTGCCATCTCTTTTGTGGGATGCCTGTTTTGTCTCATTTGAGTGGTACAGCTTTATGCTGCAGTAGCGCCATGTGAACTCCAGTGATGATGCACATATTTCAGACAATTTATTTGTGGGCAGCTTGAATTGTATGTAGCTTTTATACCAATTTCTATGTGGCAGGTGGGGACAAAACTATTGGTGTTTTCAAATTAATATTATATTATGAAAATGTTCTTAAAAATTAGCAAAAATTGTCTCCTATTTTTCTAATTCTATGACAAAATAAATGGACTTAATGTGAGTCCCTTTATGGATTCCATTGAGCGTTCTGTTTGGCTAAATAAATACGTAAGTTGTTAGGATCCTATGGGAAATGTGACTATTTCTGTCTATATCCCTTCCATCCCTCCCCACTAATTTATCCTATTATCTGCACCTGCCTTCCCTACATTAACTGGAATTTTTCCTCTGTTCTGTCCTATTATTCTACATGCACACTCTCTCTTCCTAGTTAAGAACTGAAAGGACAAGCAAGTAAAAGGTAACTGTCTACTGACTGTGGGGTGTGGGTTTTTTTTTTTTTTTTTTGGTTTGTTTCCTGACTTCTTATAATTATCTTCTCCTATATTGTTGAGGTGGTTGCCTGGCTTCTTTGTGGTGCTTTGCTAGTTCTTGAAGCATGTTTGCATTGTGGTTTAGAGATGTGGGGAGTAGTCCTTTTGGCATGATTGCTTTGTGTCTTAGGGTACATGGTATAAACTTTGCAACTGGAATGTCTTTTTGGCCGCTGTACTGACTCTTCAGGAAGATACTTCAAGCCTGGTGTTCATGGAGCGTGCACCTGTGTATAGTTTTTTAAAGATAAATAACAAAATTTTTTAGGAAAATAAAGTTACTATATTGAAAGTTTAAAAAAGGCACATTGACTACAGCACATTATACATATACAAATCATTTTACTGTAATCCACTTCAGAAGTCGTATGCTGCTTCTCTTCTGCATAATTGATCATTGGAATCACATCTGTTGCTTGGGCAGTGATGTTCTGATTATATATGTTCTGATAATGATCTGATATGCTGCCATTTTTGAGTGATGGAAGGAATAAAACAATTCAAGTGGTGCTGGCTGATGGAGGAAGAAAAGTTCTGAGGAGGAATACAAGGGCGCTAAGAAATGTACTAGTACCATTCTTTGAATATGCACAATCAGGAAAACCATACTTTGCTAGTAAGCATGGACTGAGATTTTTCAAAAGCCACGTGGCTGTTGGATAGCTCAAACTGAATGAGCTTTTACTTTTACTGCCTTTATTGGCGCTTGAAATCATAAAAGTCATTTAAAAAACTGTGACTGATATTTCCACTGCTACTTTAAAACAAAAGGATGTAAAGAATGAATATTCAGCTAAACTGGAATTGGTAATAACTGATTAACCTTGTATCTCTGTTTTTCTTGTTTTTTTCTTTTTCCTGTCTCCTTCATATCTCCCAATTAGATATCTGCCAGCTCTCAATACAGAGGTCAATCACTTCTTTATGCAGCCTAGAAACTATCACTGAAGAGCCCAGTATTGCCAATGAAAACCAACATGCCACCATCTTCTTCCCTCTACCCATTGCTCCTTACAGCGATTCTGAAAAAGGGTCTACATCTGATCGTTCCACTGATTTTCAATCAGAAGAAAGCAGCCCATACAATCAGCCTGAAGAACCTCTATACACTAAAGAACAAAGAACAAATTTGGCTACAGAAGACCAAGTGCAGGTAACCACAGCAGCAGCTAACAGAAGTGTATTAGTCCAAGAAGATGAGAGAGCAAGTATGGCAAGATGTCTCAAAGAAGAAAATGGTTGGACACAAGCATGCAGTCATGCTGAAGATGAGTTTAGTGTGGCAGTGCATCCTCAACAAGCCTGGCTGGTAGTGGCAGGTAAGACTGCTGACCAAGCTGCTGAGAACTGCCAGAAGCAAAATGACCAGCCAGGTCAGGTATTAACAGACGTGAAAAGCATCATTGAATGCAAAGGCCAAAAGCTTGGTGCAGCAGCTGTCCCACTGCAGCATAACAGTGTCATTAACTGCACACAGCTAGCTTTGCCTCCAGGTGCATTCCAGAAAGCCCAGTCTGCACAGGCTCCAGGTGTTTCTGTTTCTCAAACCAGCTCTTATTTATTAGTAAGGAAGTCAAAGAGTGAAGGTCACAAGATGTCAGACTCCTCAGCCTTAATAAAAAATCTAAGTAGCCTGTCTCCAGCAGCAGAAGTATATTTTGATGCCACTGTTAATGACCGGATCTGGAGCAAGCTAGATTGCAGCAGTCACCGTGACAGCATGTCTTCCTCTTCTAGCATGTCCTCCAATGACACTGTGATAGATCTCTCCCTGCCCAACCTGACTCGAAAAAGCCTCCCAGATCTTGGCATCCGTCATGAAAATTTGGAGCCCCTTGCTGTTAGAAAGGGTATGCGCCCACGATCTGCTACCGCATCAGGTAACGAGATGCCAATGGTGAGCAAGAGCAAATCCAATCCTAATCTGAGGTCTGGCCAGCTGCCAGTGGATGAATTATGCCCACGGCCTCTTGCCAGGTGTTCTCAAGATGCATTCTCATCCATCCCTAGAAGGCAAACCTGGAGCAGGTTGTACATGGAAAGTCTCAGACAATCTTCTCTCAAATCCAAAGCGCAAGATAAGGTTGGGAATAGCCAGGCAAAATCCAAAAGTCTTGGAGACCTTACCTCTGATGATATCGTATGCACTTTTGAAAGCAAATACCGGAGCATCAGCAGGAGTTTTGTCACTCGATCAATGCGGGAGCAGCGCCGCTCCTCAGGCCTCAGACCCTCAGTCAAATCCCAGGATGAGTTGACTGAGCAGCTAAAGAAGCTGACAGCCTTTCAGCAAGCAAATGATATCACTTCCCCCACTAGTCTTGATCCAACTGAATCTGAAGAGGAAGGGGAGAGCTTGGGACTCCTTCGCAGGTCTTCATCTCGGAGTCAGAGTAGGGTACGATACATTGCCAACAGGGCCAAACAAGCTCAGGAGAGACAGCGGTTGCAAAGCCTAGGCCAGCTCAGTGGGAGTCCCATTGAGGAGAGAGGAAATCCAGAGGGAGCCTGCAGTGTTGTAAAAGGTGTTTGTATGGATGTAGCTTCTCCTACGGTGTTTACATCCCAGCCTAAGAACCAGACTGAAAACACTGACACAGAGGTCTTTTTTATGTTGAAATTGTAATTCTGGGAAGCACTGAGTAAGTTGATGTTTACACTCCTGTCAAGACAAAATGTAGTGACCTAAGAGGCACAGAATGTTCGCATATGGCATAATGCATCCTTGTCTTCCCTTGATAGTGAAGATAATTAAGATCATGACTCCAAAAGAATAGATGAATGTTTTAGACTTGCCAACAATCTGTGGAATTAGAACAACCAAATGAAATCAAAGGCTGGTATTTTAACAGTCTTAATGATCTGACTTTTTTTTTTATTGCACTTTTTCCAGCTTTCCATCTGGCCTCCTTTGTCTGTGACCACTGCTTTGCACTTGCAATTTACTCTGTGCAAAACTTGCATTCTTTACTAATTTAAGTGATTGCTTCCTACAGGTAGATAAACATCTTTATGATGATAACAACAGCTAAAGTAAATTTTGCTGGATTTAAAATCATGTTTCCTGTTCTGTTTTATTTTTTGGAAGAATTTGAGGCATCTGAGTGTATCCTCTTTGGAAGACAGTCAAAATTGCAGTGTAATTGTTTCCTGAATTAATAGTACCTAAATGAGAGTAAATAAAGTCCATCTTCTATCTTTGTCCAGTTTCTTTCAGTGAAAAATCTACGTTGCCTCACTCTTTGAAGAGGATAACTCTCACCATGTTCCAAAACAATGATTTTTCTTTTTAATAAGTTTGCAAGTTTGTGTGTGTATATATATATACACACACACACACATATATGTGTGTGTGTATGCATGTATATATGTCCACCCATATATTATATATGCACACATACAGACACTTAAAATGAACTATGACTGTTTCTTGTTTCAAAACCTAATCTATGGAAAAGAGCCAAGAGAGAGAAGGAAATTAATAAAACAGACAGGAAATATCTTCTGACTTCAACTCCAAAATGGCTAAAAAGTATGCTAGTCTTTCCTTTGAAACAGAACCACCCCTTCTTTATGGTATTTTAACAATGCTGCTGTACATAGCACCTTTTGGATGAATTGTACTTTTTCTGTATTGCACTGCCATACAAAATTTTCAATGATATGTTCTTAAAAAGATATATTTAAATTTTTTAGATGGACATATTTAGAATTAAATACCAACCTAAATAGAATATTCATTTTTTCTACCCCTTTTTATTTTTGGTTTCTTCCACCTCCAGAATTATTATGTCATTTATTATAGATGCACATTTTATCAATGATGGAGAATAATGTTTACTATGTTGTGTTTTAAAGAGAAACAGAGGTTTAATTTTATTTTCAGGATGCATAGATTCCCTTCTGAGAGGATATTTTCAGGATGCATAGATTCCCTTCTGAGAGGATATTTTGCTTTTGTTTACAAAAATTCTTCTGTGCATAGTGCAAAGCCTATAAATCTGTTTGTAAAACCACCTGACACTGCTAAAATAAACATATTTAACCTTCCAGCTGTTGACTATTTAGCTATGACATAACACTTTGTGCATGCTGTCTAGAAGTGTGTGGTATGCAAACATGGTTAATTCTTTCCCTTCTTGTTTTAAAATTTGTTTAGCGGATAACATTTCATTTTACCCTTTTTCAGAGTAGTAGCCATTTCAGATCCTGCTCAAATTTTTGCAGGTCCACCAAAACATGGGTGGAGACTGGCATCCTATTGTTGTGTGATACACTGCACGTGGATAGTTTTGAAGTGGTGCCTTTGTTTGGCAGGGCCAGTGACAGCTCTAGATGAAAATTCTTGGGGGTTCCATGTAATTCGTAGCAGAACAGATGTAATCCAAGGACCTAATCCATTCTGTTACAGCCAGAGCAGTGAATGTTGTAGAGAACTGCTCTCTGCAGCAGAAATTTGCTCTCGATTAGTCTCATTCAAAAATACAGTTTATTCTCCTCCTGTCCCAGCAAAGTGCACAGTGAATGTGTATGTTACTTAGTGCATACTCTCCTTGTGGATTGCAGGGC